AAATTAAAAGATAGTTAATTGGTACTGAAATCTGATAAGGAATGAATTATGTTTATAAAATTTAAGAATGTATATGTTCATAAATTCAGTGCTTTTTATTAAGGAATATTAAAATTGAATGTAAAAGGGTATAGTTTGATTTTGTAATTCATGACTTGATGAGTGTCTTTAGTTGAATGATTTTTGGTTTGAGTTTAAAATTACGGTAAAAAAAAAAATATTGATTATTTATTAACTTATGGGAAGTACCTTACAATGTGGAATCCAAAGAAGACCAAAGAAAAGCAGTACTCATAAATTGATTGCTCAAAAATACTTGGGAAAATGTAATCATTTAAATTAGAGTGTAGTTGAACAATTTGAACTGGATATGCTTACTCTTATTTTCAAAGACTTAGCTTCCAGATAAAATAATTCATTGTTAAGTAGAGATACATTCAATACCTTCTTTTAAATAATAGTTTGTAGCATATAGATTATTAATGTAGGGATTTTGGGGAGAACAAATATTTAACAAGTTCACAAATAAGCAAGAAGATTACATGAATTTTGATGAGTTTTTAGCAGGAATGGAAATGTACATTAAGTGCTCAGATGAATAAAGAATTGTGAATTTGTATTAACTTTATGATTTACAAAACTAAAAGGGTATAGCAAAGAGTGACTTTTTATAGATGGTATGTTAAGTGTTAAATAAAAATAGATGTAGAATTATCCTCAATATGAATTAAAGAAGATTTGTGAAGATTAACTATTTTTAGATGAATCTTTGATTATTGATGATTTTGGTAATAGACGTAAACATCGTCATAAAAAATATAAGAATAGTGCAGATATATTGGAATTGTCAGGTATATATAATTGAATAATGAAATAGTCTAATAATTTAGAAAATAGAGCTAGAATATTTCTGAGTAATAATATGAGAGTTCAAATAAAATAATTTCAGAAGGTTTATAGAGTTGTTTTTCTAAATAATCTGATGCCCTTTTTGTATAAGATAGTATGATTTAAGAAAATGGTATATCTTAAAAAAGATTTGGATTATTAATAACAGCATAAGTATATTATATAAATAAATTAGATTGATGGTTAAAAGATAGAAATGTGTGTTAATTAAAGTCTATTGATAAAGAAATATGTTGACTTAGTGTATAAAAATAAGAATGATTAATTATTATCATTGCAAGAATTCTAGGCATTTATTGCAAAACATCCCAACTTAATCCAACCTCTTTATACAGCATTTAATTATAATATTTGGGGGATCACAGATAAATAGCCTAATTATAAATAACTGTAAGAATGCGATGAATACAAAATAGAATGTTGATAATGTCAGGAGACTTATATAGAATTTCAAAGAAAAAAGAAATAAAATAGAAATATTGTGAACTTTATCCCCATGTCCTTTTAGAGTTTCGAAAAAAAGGAGAAAACCCTTCAAAAGTAATTTGTTTGTAGGGTTTGATAATTGAGGAAAAAGTACACCAATAAGTTTAGAAGTATGGTTTTGAAGTATTACATGTTGGAAAATAGTATAAGAGTAAGAGTTATGAATGTTCTGATGATAAGTAATTTAGATTATGGTAGAATGCATTACAAGCTTATAATAAGTAATTATGATAGTATTATTGGAGTGGGGAGATAAGCAAAAAGTATTCTATATTAGAGAAGATTGGGTAGGGTCAATCGTCTATGGTGTATAAATGTTAGGACAAATAGACAAAGGAGACATATGCTTTGAAGATCATCAATAAATAATAGATTTCATAGAATTAAGTAGAAGCTATAAAACATGAAGTTGAAATTATGAAATTAATAAATCATCCATATATTGTAAGATTAGTTGAAAGTTTTGAAAATAGAAGTCACATCTACTTAGTTACAGAATTAATAAAGGATGGAGATCTCTATGATTATGTAGAAGAGAAGAAATATTTGGCTGAAGAAGAGGCTGCTTTGGTTTTATCTTAATTGATTGAAGCATTGTAATGTATACATTCAATGGGAATTGTACATCGTGATATAAAACCAGAGAATATAATGATAATTTTGAATTAGAATACTATTAAATAGGTGAAGATAATTGATTTTGGATTTGCTAATTATTTATCAATATTAAATGAGAGAAAAGAGAACTTTGAATGTGGAACTATGAATTATATTGCACCTGAAGTTTATTAATAATGTAAAGAATTGACATCTAAAATTGATAATTTTGCTTTAGGTGGAGTTTTATATTTTATGATATGTGGTTATGCACCTTTCTATTCAGAAATATTATTAGAAATCAAAGAGAATATTATTGATGGCAATTATGATATTTAAGATGAATTTTGGCAATGTGTAAATGATGATGTAAAAGAACTTATTGCTGGATTATTTGAAGTAGATCCCATTAAAAGATTATCACTCTAACAAGTAAAGGAACATATTTGGATGAAGAAATTTTTGGAGAAACGTAAATCAAAAAAGAAATGATATTATTTACAAATTCACATTTTGAAATCCATATATCAACTAAATAATTAAAATATATCATATAAATAATCAAACACCTAAATTACCATATAAATGTATCACACTTTCCTATTTATTCTTATCCTAACATACTATTGCCAAAATAAATTTATTAGGATGGAAACAAATTTCAGATGGTTATCCTTCTAATTTTATAGAATCTATATGATCTGTCTTACCAGCTAAACATCTGTCTACCTAATAGATATAAGCTTATTCTTCCAAACCAATTGCTGCTATGTATTTACTATCAAAAACAGATATTGATTTAATCTCTGATTCAACTGTCATTAATTATCCTGCACATAATAAATCTGGTAATTGCCATAATATAATTAAAGAATCCTATGCACCAGTATACATATGTTAACCATCCTTACTGAATTTACATTAAGTAATACTAGCTCTATGAGCTTCCATTTAATGAAGAGGAGGTAATTAAGGATTATTAACATCCATAAATTATATCATACCAACTCCATTTTGTTGACCAACTGCTACAAACACATCTTTATCATACATAATATTCTTCAATTCAAAATTCTTATCCTTATCTTTTGGTTAATACATTATTTATCTCTCTCCTCCTTACATATCTAAAAACATTATTTATGTTTCCTTATTCTATTTAGTACCAACTGCCAATTCATTACCATTAGGACTCCAACAAGCAATACCCATTTATTCCTTCTTTTCTTATCTTACACTCTATTTTGTACGAATATCCCATATCTTAACATACTCTTTTGTTATAGAAGCTATTATATCTGGTTGAGTTGGATGAAATAACAATTTCTCCAATTATTCTGATCCTTACTTTAAATCAGTTGATCTCTTAATATTATTTCCATCAAAAGACCAAATTTTAATTGTAGAATCACTTGATGTAGCTAAATAACTTCCATTACAATTCCAATCCATTGATTTGATTGTCTTACGTTCTTATTGAGTTTTCTCTCTTTATGAATTTTTAGGGTATTCTTTGAATTATTAATAAAACATATAATAAAGATTAATCTACAGTATTGATATATTACAACTAAACAGAATATATAAGATCATAATACTGTGAAAACATAATATTAATAATCAAATTGCAGCTAGAAGTTTTTACTTCTCAAGTTCTTTCTGTTACATCTCTTTTAATTTATCCTCAATCATTTGATTTTCAATCACTTTCTTCATTCTACCACCATAATATGTAGCTAAGGCTTAGATAACATAGAATCCTACAAAGACAACTGCACAAACAATTGCATATTATTTTGAATTTGCCTTAGCTATTTTTAGATATAAAGTACATACCAGCTTCAATTAATCCATACCAAATAGGCAAACAAATTCCCCATGTAAATAATGTCATCAACACAACATAAAAGTAATCAATGCATTCAAAAGGGTAATAACCTGGAGTAGTTCCATGAAATTTAGGTTTGTATGCACCAAATTTTCTAAATTAATTATAAACCTAAATTGTATACCTAGTATATCCATCATCCAACATTGGGTCTTCTATTATAGTTGGATCTATTTTGTGATAATCTTGTTAATCCATAAGTTAAAAAAAAAATATAATTATATTAATGATTGAATTAAGTATATTAATATAATATAAATATATAAAAATATAATTGTTAAAATTAATAATTAAAATATATTAGATTATGAAGTTAAAAACAATTCTGATAAATACAACATAAATATCATAATTACTTGATGACTCTCCAATTATACTCATGTTTTCCAATACTTACTAAAAATTATACATATTTATGAAAGTTGGGAGTAATGACCCCAGATTTCTTATTAATGAATGGATTTCAATATTTTAAAGATAAAGGAATTCTCTATAAATTAACCTATTTACTAATAGTCATTGCCTAAAAGAATAAATCATAACTACCACATGCGGATATTAATTTTTTACTCTCTACACTGAAATCTATGTGTTTAATAAATGAACTTATTTGGTGATATTTAATATCTGAAATCCAATCTTTGGTTACTTAAAAGTAATTCTTTTTGTTTAATTCTCTATCATAAACTCTGTCTAAACCATTTTTCATCAGGTTTAATATCCATAACATTAGAGTCATAGACAGTTCTAATGAATAATTTCTATTTTATTTGAAATACACTCAATTAGCATATCATCTCTATAAGAATAGACATAGTCCCCTTGCATAATGTCTTTTCATCATAATCCTGGATTTAAATTTAGTTTTATTAGTGATTTTAGTATCTTTAATACAAAAGAATAGATGATTGTATACTTAATACTCAAATTTCACATCCCAATTTTCCAAAAACTAATTTATTTTCAAGATTCTTATTTCCTAAATTTAATAATTTGAATTGGATTATGAAATTTATCTGATATTATAGAGGGTAATAAGTTAATCCTTCAGTAAATAAATAAGCTTTATACTTAACATTTCCTTGTTATTTATGATTTTCAAGTGTATAATTCTTAGATCATGAAAGAGTTGTAAAAGTACTAGAAGAAAGATCCTATAAATGGAGAAATTATTAAAAAATCTGCTACACTTAGTTTAACTCTATTTAATTAGGATGAAAATATAGATGTTATTGAAGAATGTACTGTTGTTTATTCTTAATATTTAAGAGTAAAAGGTACAGAAACTATTGATAATGCAAAATAAGCTTGTGATTAAAATAATTTTATAGAAGCTTAAAGATTATTAGATAATATGATGATACAAATATAGAAAAATAATAATAAAGTAGTTTATAAATGTATTGGAATTATTTAAGATTTAAATTAAGCTAAATAAGCTTCATAAAAGATATAATATAATAATTTTGGTTCAAAATAACTATGTTAAATGATTGTTAATAATTATGCATAAGGAGGTATAAATTCCATATTTACACTAAGAAAGCTTAATATTGATATTTATATTCATTATTTTATAATAAAATCATTATAAAACTATATAATTATTGAATTATTCTATTGTTGTCTATAGTTTTCTCATTATAATCTATAAAGACTAAGAAAAGAAAAATTTTTAGATAATTTAAATGAACACAATTAGAAATTTTGGTCTAATGAATTCAATGTTATTGTTAACTTCAGAATATTTAGTTTGAAGTTTTAAAGGTAAAATCATTTTAATTACAATTCATAGGATTATTCAGAATTTTTAATATATTTAATAGAATAAAATCCAATAGAATAATACTTTGATATTTGTTTCGATTATTCATTATTATTTGAATATTTTCCTAAAATGGCTGATTCTAGGTAATAAAATGTAGGACCTTATGATCCTTGTAGTGTACCAAAGGGAGGACTTAATTAGAAAGAAAGAATAATTTTACCTTTAAAATTCATCTGCCCTTCTGATTGTGTATGTTAATCTAAAGTTGAAAGAAATTGGCATCATAAAAAATGTGGAAATCCTTCATTCATTACTGATTATGGAGATATTTTATGTAAAAATCACTTAACAGATTGTCCAGGATATTTTATTAAAGACGCCTCTTTTTAATGCAATAAAGCAGCAGAATCAAACACTTGGTATCAACATAAGAGCATGTCATAACTTTTTGATGCTCTATCAAAAGCTATTTAGGTTGCAGAAAATGATCTTTCTGACGATAAAGTGACACAATTTTCTAAAAATCTAATTAATCAAATACAAACTAGATGGTATACCTGAATTCACTTGACATTATTTTTTTTTTGTAATTTAATTTGCAACCATATTAATATTTATCATATTAAAGAGGATAGCATCGAAAATTTAATATAATAAAGATTATATATTTTTAATTCAACAGATTTTTTCGATTCAATGATACTCATGATTTCTTAATCTATTTTAATCAAAATCCTAATATTGGATAATAATAATAACAATATTCAAGAATTATATAATTTTTAATAGAATCAACTTAATAAAAAATAAGTTTTGTTAAAATTTATATATTTACTACTTGTAAATAGTTCAATAGCTCAAAAACAATAATATTATTAATATTCCAAGAATATTACTAAATTCAGTTATTAATCTAACAGATTTTTCACATGAAGCACATAAACTTTTATTTGGATCCCATCGATGAAGCTTAGCTGTCTTTATATAACAATCTACTTATTTAAGAGTGTTAATATTAATTGTAACACATTATTATTCATGATAGTGACATAAATGAATGTGTTTATTATCCCATGTATTAAAGTTCCTACAACTTCCTACTTAAGTAGAATAAGTTTAACATGTATGAGTTTAACATAAGAATTTATCTGAATTCCAATAACATTTATCTTTAAATAATTTACATGCATTTATATCAGTTTTTGCAGATTCGCAACTCTCCATCAATTTACATTATTTTAATTTATTATTTTATGATTCATTCTCAATCCATACACAAATTCCATCTAATCCTTCATAATAACAAGTTTAATTAATATTATAATCTGAACATTTAGCCTTATTTATACATTATATACCATTTGAAATACAATTTTCTATTTATTTACATGATGAATATATATGTCCATTAGGTATATCTTAACAAGTCATTTTTCTACATAATTCAAATGATTTGTCTAATCTAATTTCCCAAAAACACTTACCTTCAATTCCTTCTGCATTTTCACAAATTTCCTATGAAAAATAAGATGAACATGATTCTTTGAGAATACATTTATAGCCATTTGTTGTACAATAGGATAGTCTTGATTAACATTCTTAATGAGTTGTAGATATGATATCAGAGCATTCTTTATCTAGAAATTATGATGTCTTTAAATCCCAAATACAGATTCCAATTGATTATGTTTTATCCTTAATATCTTTAATAATTCCCATATGATTGAATTGTCATTATTCATATTTTTGTTTAACACATGGTTGTAATGAAATACAATCATTTTCATAATCAGATGAACACTAATTAACATTCTTCATATGTTAAATAATGAATATCTGTACATTTATTGAATGTTATACAGACTTTCTTTTATGATTCTGAAACAATAATACATTGTTAAATTCCTTTGTTATCAATACTAATTACACAACCTCCATTTAAAATAGTTTCTTTATAATTGGTAATTCCTTACAACCAGACCCAAAAATATCTACTTTACATGATGATAAGTAAGTTTTGCAATAATAAAATTTTTGTAAATACTTTGGAGCCAAAGCACAATATTTTTTAAAACAACCCTCATTAATAATGCATGTTTTATTTTTCAAATCAAACTTATAATTTGATTTTCTTATATATTTTCACAAGTCAGAGATACACATCTATAATCTGATCCTATAGTACAAGTAATCATAAATTCATTACATAATTCATGTGTATTGAATTCTAATATGAGCATTTTCACATATTTTCAATTCACATTTGCCATTCCACCAAAAACATTCTTAATTATTAACATCCCTTACATAACTTTCCTTTAACAAATTATCCTCACATTTTGTATTAATTCTACAACCACCTCCAAATTAAGGTATACAATTTCCATTTTATATATAATTCATACATTATGTATAAGTATTAAATGACGATGGAGCATTATCACAAGTTCTTTCTGTACATCCTGTAATTTCATCTGTGGACTCAGTACATGTATCCATATATTATGTACATTAATCATGTCCGATATATAATGGACCTGCATTTTTACATGTCTTAGGTATACAACCATTTCCATTCCAATGACATAGTGTACCATACATAGTTTTATTGCATGCTTCTTTAATTATGGCTGCTCCACAATTTGAATTCAATACACAATCTTTTCCATTTTTATACAAGTATCCAAGTATTCTTAACATATTTCTTTTGTTTTATAAGTATTCAAGGCATTCTCACATATTTTGTCAACACATTATTTTCCTGTCCAATAACAATCATTACCAATAGCATCTTTTTTACAAGCTTCCTTTATTTGATAAGTTGAACATAATAATCTATCAATGCATCCACCCTCTTATTTTTTAGTACAAGATGGATGGAAATCTTGACATTATTTATCAGTTTTTAAAGTCTATGGAGCATTTTCGCATATTTTATCTAAACATTTTCCATCTAATTAAAAACAAATTTGGTTATTTTTTATATTATAGACACAGTTTATTTAATCATCTTAATCATAACAATTATTTCCTTCTTCAACATATCCTCCTCCAATCTAAGCTGTACATTAGAAATTTGAGCTCTACATTAGGTTCTAATATTTATGTTAACTTTGAACATTCATCTGCATCTTAACATTTAGCTTAAGTGGCATTTCAATAACAGTATTAACCTGGTGATTTATTAATACATGAAATTAGACTTATTTAGCTTTAACAATCTCCTGTTTCAACACAATGTAATCCTCTAATTGTAAATCTTTACCTTTCATTTATATATTATTTTAATTGAAACATAAAGATATATTTAATATGTAATTTATAAATTATTATTTGCTATATTTCTATTATTTAATATTTATATAAGAATAATAATAACAACTATTTATGACTGAACATTTTATCTTTTTAATACCTTGCCAAAAATTTATTTTAATAATATAAATAATATGATGTATTTTATCATTTAATCTGATATCTAATATAAAAATAGATTATGAAATATTCATTAAAATTAATAGAACATTTATTTAATTCTAATATTGCTTTATAAAAAATGAAGCAATATATATTAACTTAATTACCTTGATAATCATTTAAGATACGTTTATAATATTTTAGAATTGATCATTACAATAAAGTTTAATATTAAATAAAATAATTTCAAAGTTCTATTTCTGTCCTGATATAACCAATATTTCTCATTCTATATTTAACCAAAATATAAAAGCCTATTAATTAAAAAATTATTATGGTAATTAATGAATAAATCCATCTTCTTGAAGGTTCATCTAATTAAGGAAGTATAAAAGTTATCTCATAAGATCCATTTGAAAAATCATTTTTGCAAGTAATATTCACATGGACAGTATTTCTATCTTACCTATAATGGCATATTAATGTTCTAGTATATATTGGATAATATAAAACTGATCCATTATTTAATGCAAGGCATGTAGCGTTTCGATCCTCTATATTAGTAATTAAAGCATATTCAGAAGATGTAGAGTTTAATTATCCTAACATCAAAATAGGCTCTTCTAAATTGTTAATAAGTAAATTAGGAATGTAGTAAACTCCTATAATATAGGTATTTCCTTATTTAAATTATTGAAGTAGAAATCCATTAGAATAAACAGAATTTGGCACTAGTACAGTATTATTGTATGTGTAAGCTGTGATAGTTGTGATAACATTAGAAGGATGTAGCTCAAATGATTTCGAAAACAACTTATATACTAATAAATATCCAACACCTTCAATACTAGTGACAAGGAAGAAAATTTATTTGTCTCTTATTTGCAATATCAAAATTTAAACAAAATGTGTATAATGCAGAAAATCCAAAAAATTTAAATCTTCTAAAGTAATTGAGTATTTATTGAAATTTAATTATTAAGAATAGATCTCATTATAAGAGATGTATAAAATAATAACTAAATTTGACTAATTCATATCTAAACCAGAATTAAATAAAGCTACTGAAAAATCTATAGTAATTTCATCATGATTTTAATAATCAAGTTACTGCATGGTGTTGTTTAACGGGTTCAATAAATACAACTTTTCATAATGATAATTATAAGATCCTAATATAAAATTAAGAGTGTCGATATTACTAATTTTAGATATATAAGTAAATTTATAAGGTATTTACAATAAGCTTGTTTTTATAACACTTCCATTAGAGTCAAAATAAATGGTTAGCCAATATTATGCAGTATCGTTTTGACATATTGAAGATAAACTTAAATTATAAGATGTTGATTTCAAGCATTCTGTAAAATTTAAATCAGAATAATTGTAAAAGTTAAGAAATAAAAAATACTAATTAACAATTCTTAAATATACTAGAACATTAAAATGCCATTATAGGTAAGATAGAAATACTGTCCATGTGAATATTACTTGCAAAAATGATTTTTCAAATGGATCTTATGAGATAACTTTTATACTTCCTTAATTACATGAACTTTCAAGAAGATGGATTTATTCATTAATTACCATAATAATGTTCTAATTAATAGGCTTTTATATTTTGGTTAAATATAGAATGAGAAATATTGGTTATATCAATACAGAAATAGAACTATGAAATTATTATAGAAAATTTCATTTAATAGTTAATTTAATACATTTTAATGATCAAATCTAAAATATTATAAATTTTTCTCCAGGATAATTAAGTTAATGTTAATAACTTCATTTTTTATAAAACATTATTTGAATACAATAAATGTTCTACAAGGTATCAAAAAGATAATAAGTTCATTCATAGATCCATGTTATTTTTTATTATTATTATACTTACTTTAATATTAATAAGAGATCATATGTTTGATTAAAATGATAAATCAATTAAAAGTGATGATTTATAATCAGATGGATGACATTGTGTTGAAATAAGCGATTGTTAGAGCTACTTAAGTCCAATTTCATGTATTAATAATTCAGTAGGTTTTGTATTTGTATTGGAATGCCACTTAGTGAAAGTTTAAGATGCAAATGAATGTTCAAAATTACCATAAATATCAGCTTAGATTGAAGGAGGATTTGTTGAAGAAGGAAATAATTGTTATGATTAAATAAACTGTGTCTATAATAAAAATAATAACCAAATGGTTAGATGGAAAATGTTTAGATAAAATATGCAAAAATGCTCCATAGAATTCAATACCCATTAATTATTTAATGAATTTATGAATACTTGTAAGTTATGATATTCTAACAATAAAAATATATTATTATTAAATAAATTTACTGATATCATTATAAAAATTAACAGATCAACTCTAAAAATATTTATTTTAATGTATTAAAACATATAATATTTATAAAAACCTTTAATTTATTAATCCAATTTTAAGTATTATTTTATTTACTAAATAAAATAATAATTAAAAATATGAGAATAAATTCTTAAATAATTAATATATAAATTTAGTTTAGATATTATTTTATAAATATTTATGTAATTTAATTCTTCATAAAATCTGATATTCTTTTTTCAATAATGATTTTAGAATTTCGATTATAGAACGCTAGATTACTACTATGATCGATTAATGGAAGCAAGTCCAGCAAAGAGTTGACTATTTAAAACTACACCTTAATCTCCTCTATAGAGTAGATCTGATTATTAAGTAGTGTCCTTTTTAATTACTTATGTATTAGAGCCTAATCCAAACATTTCTAAGCTTGTTGGTTCTTGAAGAGCAATATCATTTTTAAATGGATCCATAAGTATTTAATCATAAAAGTTTCCAGAATAAAAGATATTGAATTCATTTCTTTATATTGCAACCAAAGTTGTTGTGAGAATCATTAAAATTTCTGTAAAAATAGAGCTAAAGATAATATTTATTTGATACGTTGGAAGTGGGAATGAAAAAATGTATTGAATTATTACCCACAAAATGAGTCCAACAAGTAAACCAAAGAAAGCAATAATTTCATAGACATATGTTTACTTATGTTTGTCAAATCTATTCACATAACCCAAAAAAAAACCTAATTAATTAAAATTGAATAATTACCAGGAAATAGTAAATTAAAAATAGATACCCATGCACATTTCTTTTTGTATATATATCTAAAATAAGGAAATTAGGCAGAAAATGGAGTGTTGAAATATCTCAATGCTACACTATCCCATTCATATCTTACAGTTTAACTCAAATAAATGGAACAGAAAATATCAACTATCATGAGAGGTATAAAAAATTAGAGAGCATCTTTTAATGATATTATCTTAAATAATTTAATAAAAGATCCTAAAATACAAATAGATAAAAGATTACTAACCTAAGGGTAATTAATTAATATATAATACATACAAACCATGGTTATTCATAATAGAGGTAAAAGAAGATCAGCAAAGTTGATAGGATAATTGATAAATAATCCCTAATTTTTAAGCATAAAACCTTTTCAGATAAAAATGGGAGAGTATTTCTAAATTTACCAAAGATTTCATTAAAAAAATGAAATGAAGTAAGAACACAAATTAAATAGACCAATAATTTAATAATTTTCTCTGCTTACTCTTTATAACTCATTGAAGTAAATAAAGCAATTAATAATAATCCCATATATATCAAAGCTTAAGGCCAATATAAATAAAATCCTTAAAAAGGACTTAGATCTACATTTTAAATATTTTATTCTTAAAATTATCTTCTTTTAGCAGGTGTTACAAAAGCAATTCGAAATGAATAAATTTTTCCAAAAGTTGCTAAAATTATGATAACAATAGAATCAAATGTAATTAATATGATATTGCTCCAATCAAATCTATAAGTTAAATATATATATATTATAATACCTTTTAGGATGGAAACTGCCATCACAAATAAATTAATATTAGAAATTTAAACCTTAAAAGTCTTGAAATCGAATAAAGACATTTTAAATACTCCAGTAATTGTTATTATCTACTTATCTTTCACAACTATGAATAAACTCAACAACTATGCTTTAATGAGGTTATAAAATAGGTAAAGTGGATAATTTAGGTGCAACAGGAATATCTTAATAAGACAAATAATCAGTTATTGTTAATTATCTCAAAATAATAGTTTCATTTTCATTGTTAGTAATTGTCAAAGGCAATATAAATTTCTATCTGCTATGTCCATGAAGATTTAATGAATCAACCTTATATTTAGTGAGATTAGTAGGACAACATGATAATATTGGGAATTGATCATAATCAAAATATCTATTCATTTAGTTATTTTAATAAATAGTAGCAGGTAGGTTTTCTTCAAGGTCTTTTTATTTAGGGATAAGAATGCCAAATGATAGTGTTACATCTGGAAATGCAAATATTGTTGTGATTATTTGAAATAGTATTATATTAAACATTAAATATAAAAGTAAAATCAAATTTCATATTCCTTAATTTTAGTTAATAGTAGTTAATTCAATTATTTTTAATCTTCAATTTTTTTGACTAATTTTTTAATGATTAATTTTTATAAGATAATAATCTCATCTTTATCAGGTATTCTCACTTCTTCATCTGCATCTTCAAAATTATTTTATTAATTATATTCTAATTAAGGTAAAACATCATTATGTTAAACTTGAAGTCCTTTTAATAATTAAATCATCTAAAGATAGGTATCATTAATTTTATCTTTAGATCGTTCATGAATTTCATTGCCATCTTTAGCAACTTTGAATTTATGTTACAATTATTCTTATTGCTTTTAAATTTCTTCATATTATTTTTTATATTAGTTCATTTCTTTAGTCATTTATTTCATATCATTCAAAATAACTTGTTTTTCATTTTTAATTAAACCTAAAATTCCAACGATCCCTTATTATAATTCAGGAGTCTGTTATTAAAGTTCTTCTACTTTATTCTAAGTTTCCTAAAATAAATTAGCACTGCTAACAGATTTGTCTTTTACTTCAAATTCATATTGACTTAATGATCTATCTATTTAAGTAGAATTATCAGTTTAATGATGACTACTTAAAGAATAGCATTATTGTCTTTTTGGACTTGGACTAGTTTGTAATCTCAAATTTTTAAGTTTTGAATAACTTAATTTAGGTTATTTAAAGAGCGGAGAATATGATTACTTTGTTTATTGTTTTTTAGATTCCAAGATTGATGTAGTATTCTTTCTATTCTTTTATAGAAAGTCTTAATATTGTTTAATAAAAGAATTCTAACTGGCTTATGAACGAGGCTTAAAATAAGGCATGTTCATATTTATAATGATATTAATTAAAATTCATTTCAAAAATATTTTCTTTTCTTTTAAATACTTTGTAAATTCTTATTCGATCACTTGTCTTACTCATTAGAGATTTCTTCTTCTTATTCTAAAGTGTAGAAATACTCTAAGGTACATTTTTTAGCTATTCTAGGAAGATTGTATTCAATATCATCATATCACTTATTCATTAGAATATAATATTTTATAGTGTAGAAGGTTGACAACAATTCATAATTATAAATCTTATTGTACTTATATCTATATATATTATTATTATATCAAATTTCTAGACGCTTTTCACTAACATAGATTCCATCCAAGAATTATCTAATATCCTTGTTCTTAACAGCACAAGCTTGATGAATAAGTGCACAGGTGAGTGAAACATTATTCAAATCGTTACCTGAGAGTGTTAAAACATCTATAAAGTGTATATTAAGATTTGAATACTCTTTTCTTCTGATTCATTTCTGGTGATGGTTACTCCTGGAAGACATCTGATTGTTCTGATAATCTTTTCTCCAAGGAAATTCTTGATTTCAATGGTTTTTCCATTATCCAATAGGTTGATAATGATTGGAAAGTGAGCATATGCCAAAACCATTTTGAATTTATAACCTGTGGTAACACCTCTAATCATGTTTCTAATTTGAGAGGCAACTGAGTTAACTTGGCATCTTTATTTTCTATATGATTGCCACATTCTAACACTGACTCTAGATTTGGCAACATTAGTTTTCTTATTCACTTTCTTTTAAACTTAGATGTCCAAAGCAGAATGTCTGAAATTTTTTGACAATTCACCTCTAGGTCCTAAGAGACGATAAAACATAAGTGAATACCCTTAACTTTAACAATCTTAGATTTCTAAGTGATCTCAATCTTTTCAGGAATTTGAACATGTTCCTCAGTCAAGATGTATTTCATATCTTTTAATTCTTTTAATTAAAAATATTTGAAGTATGAATCCGTATTCTTCTAATTTTGATTGTATTAAGCATATTAATACACTCTTTCCTAATGAATAATCACTTGTAGGCATAGACACTGAAATTGAGAAACTCTAATCAGAGCTAACTCAATTATAATCTGAATTATAAGAAGACATACATGAACATGCAGTCATGCAAAATAAAATATGGAGAGATGTTTAAGATGTTGAATAACTATCTTAAGGAATTGTTACAGAAATTCAAGAAATTAAATAAAAAGCAGAAAAAAGTGAAGACTTAGTTTATTCTATGTGCAAAGATATTAAATCATTAGATATTGCAAAAAGAAATCTTACATTTTCTATTGCAGCTCTTAAAAAATTTATTATGATGTTAACAGCAATTGAGAAATTGAAAGAACATTGTAGAGATAAAAAATATGCAGAAGTAGCTAATCTACTCTCTGCATTTACAGAATTATCATAATACTTTGTTAAATTTTAAAATATTCCATAAATATTAGAAATAAATGGAGAAAAAGAATAATTAATAAAAGACTTGAAGCTATAATTGATAGATGATTTCATTTTATTTTAAAAAGGCACAAATTTAATGTAAATTAAAGATCTATAAGATGCATGTTAAACAGTTGAACATTTAGGATTGAAATTCAGAGATGAATTAATACAGAAAGTATGCAAATACATTATATCTCCTTATTAAGATTTGTTTCAATAAATTGAAAATAGAAGTTTGGAAACTACAGAAAGAAGGTATGCTTGGATGGCTAGAGCCATTAAAGATTTTGATACTAAAACATAAAATGTATTCCCAGAATATTGGGCAGTTCATTGTTAGATTTATTATGAATTTTGTGCAGTAACTAGATTATAAATAACTGATATTTTGGAATCTCTAAAGGATTTGGATGTTGCTGTATTAATGAAAGCATTACAAGCAACTCTTAAATTTGAATAGAAACTCAATGATGAAATGAAGAAAAGATATGAAGAATGGCTTGGCAAAAAGAATAGTAATTAATTTGCCATTTCAGAATTACCAAAAATTAAAGGAGCTATATCTGATAGTTTTGAACCATACTTAAGACCATATATAGATAGTGAAGAGAGAGAGTTAATGTTACACATCTAAAATATATTAAACTCAGATAAATTGGATGTTGAAGGTGACTTAAAAATGTTGAATTCATCTATGAGTATGTTTGCTTACTTTAAATAATTGCTTAAAAGAGCTTCACAATATAGCAGAACTTAGGTAATGTTCGATATATAGAAATTAATTAAGAAAGCTTTGAAAAGGTATTCTGATGAGATTATATTAAAAATTAATTAATCCAGAAATAATGAATAACATTCATAGATCTTCTGTTGTTTTGTGATTAATACTGCAGAATATTGTAAAGAAACTATTCCAGGATTATAAGAGACTATGGTCTAACATTTGGATTCCCCTTTTTCTGATTAAGTAGAATTATCTAATGAAGAAGAATATTTCAATTCAATGATGAATAAATCAATCGAAACCTTATTAATTTATGTTGATTCTAAAATAGATCAATTTTATCAATAGATGTTAAAGATAGACTGGAATGAGTTTGAAAATATGGGAGATGCATCTAAATATATTAGAGATACAATTTCCTTTTTGGAAGGACATATTAAAACAATAAAAGATATATTATCAGAGTCTTATTTAATATTTTATTTGAATAAACTTGTTGTTTATTTAAATAATAAATTTATTAATTCAGTTTTTAGAATTAAAAAAATAAGTGAAGTATTTTATCAATATTATTAAAATTTTAGATTGGATTATCTTAATTAATGTTAGATGTTTCAGAATTAAAGACAAATTTAGTGAGAATTTCAAAATTGAAGTAAGAATCTAAATCATAATAATCATTTAATAATTTTGTATAGAAAACATTATCAAGAAGTGATTCTATTTTGAAATTGATTCAAATGAGTATTGAAAAATTTGTAGAAAATTTCCCAGATTATGCTAAAAAATATGAATCTGCTCCTACTGATTTAGATAAGATTCTAGGACTAAAACAATTAAGAAGATAGGATGTTCCTCAATTAAATAAGTTTTTTACAAAGATTAATTGATTAATTATTATTATTATTATTATTATTATTATTATTATTATTATTATTATTATTATGTTAAATAATTGTGATGAATTGCACATCTTAAGGCTTCCAAAAATTGTAAATACATTTGCAAAAGATGGTATTAATTAGATTGAACTAAGAATTCTTACAGTTGAGCATGAAAGTTAGTAAAATAAATGAATATGGAAATAAACATACCAGATATTTTGTGTTAACCAATAAAAAAATTTTGCTTTTAAATAAATCAAGTAACAACGATGTAATTTAAAAGCAATTAGAAGGAAAGTACTACTATCCTTTATCATTGGAATAACGATTTCCTCCAAGAGTTTCGAATTCATATTACATTTTAAAAATGAATATGATGATGATGATCTCAGATTACAAACTGAAAGTAGATCTAGATTAATTGAATTTATTGTTAAGACCTATGCACTTGAATTTCACATTCCTTTAGCTTCATATTAAGTTCAAGATTTAAATTTGAAGAAATACGTAGTTTATAAATAGGATAGACATAAACATATATGTAAATTGCCTAATGTTAAAGCAAACTTTTTAAATTATAAACCTATTTTGGAAGAACAAGAGAATTTTTTAAAAATGCAACAAATATACTAATAAGATACTGAATCAAAATTATTATTTGGTGAGTTTTTATTACAATTAAAAGATTTCGAATTGAAAAAGATTTTATGTGAAGGAAGCATATCATAAATTGTTTAAATATTAAATTCTAAAACTCATACTTATCATATTATGAAATGTATCAAGAAAGAAGATCATAGTTAATTAAATCTAAACGAATTTGTCACCTTTAAAAAATATGTAATAGATTTATTAGATTTAGTCTCTTCATCCATTTCTAATACCTTTAGAATATTGCTTCGAGACTTTTGATAGATATTACTTTATTATGCCATAGGCTAAATGCGATTTGTACAAGAAATTGGATGAATTAAAGAAATTTGATTAAAAATAATTATTATTCATAGCCTAAGAATTGGTTGTGGCTTTGGGGGACTTGCATAATAAATAGATAATCCATGGTGATTTAACATTGGAGAATATTTTGTTAGATCAAAGTTATCATATAGCTTTATGTGATTTTGGATATTTAAGGAGAGCTTTGAAAAGAAAAGATGAATTTTATGGAGTTGCTGAATACACTCCACCAGAAACAATATAAAATAAAGATTATCAATATTATAGTGATTATTGGCAATTGGGAATCATTTTGTATGAAATGGCTTATGGTCATCCCCCATTTATTGATTACGACTAGAACTTAACATTTGATTATATTTTAAACTGCCAATTAGAATTTCCAATACAAATTGAGGTAGATCCTCTATTAAAAGATCTATTATCGAAAGTAATCTTTTGAGTCTCTATTTCAGCTATTATGCAAGGAGCCAACAAAAAGAATTGGATATTAGATGGGGATTTCAGAGATTTAAGACCATGAGTATTTTAAAAATACTAATTGGAAATAAGTTTATGATAGACAATTATAGCCACCAGAATTTGAGAAAAAATTAAAATTATTTTGAATTTAGTTTTTAATTAAAATTATTGATATATAGAATAGATTATAGATATATATTATAAATCATTATTTTTATTTGAACCAAGAAGGGATTAATTTATGAGCAATTTCAGGTTGAATTTTCAATTCCTCTTTTATATTAATAATTATAATTACCTTTTTGAAAATCAAAAAAGTTAGGTAATTGTACATTTGGAATTGAGAATCCTTATTATCTAATTTCATCAAAATATGGATGAAGTAATGCTTCCAAAGGTTTTAATCTTTCTTTTGGAGAATATACAAGTAATTTACTAACAAAATCAACAAATAAAGGTTCAGGTTTAAATTTAGCAAATACCTTAATATTATAATAAATTACTTTAGCCCATGGATGACATTTAATCTAAGGAAATTTAAATTCTTAATGTTATGGATTCATTTTTTTAATTTATTCAATTGTAGGTGTACCCAATATTTTAATGATTTCAACAAGTTAATCAGTTGCTGATCCTCCAGGAAAGAGTGGTTCACCTGTAAGCATTTCAACAATAACACATCCTTTAGTTATTAATTAATGAATACCTATAGACCAAATATCAATAGATGTTGTATATTCAGTTGCTCCAAATATTAATTCAGGAGCTCTATAATATCTTGAACAAATATAAGCAACATTTGGTTCTCCAGGTACTAATTGTTTTGCTGATCCAAAATCACAAATTTTTAACACATGATTATTTGGATTAACCAAAATATTCTAAGGTTTAATATCACGATGACAAATTCCAATACCTAATTTCTTAATATTTAATTTACCTTATAAATAAGCTAATGCTCTTAACATTTGATAACTGTAGATTTTCAGTAAAATATTTGGAAATGGAGTTTTATTCTTTTTGTAATTTCGTATAAGTTTGCTTAAGGTTTCAGGAATGTAGTCCATTACTAGATTTAGATATATATCATCTGGCTATTGTCTTAATTATTTATATTACATTTTTAGAATTATCTCCTTATGTGAAAAATGCTTATCTTAATTTTACAATGCAAGGATGATTTAATTCTTAAATAATAAGATGTTCTCTGTTTTTATAGCGTTTATCTTAAAATACTTTCTTAATAGCAACTTTTTCATTAGTTTTTGTATCAATAGCCTATATATGATATTAATTAATATAATACCAAATAAACCATACCAAAAGTGCCATTACCTACAATTTAAAGTATTTGAAATTGATTCTATAATGAATTAGATTTTTGGATGAAATTATCTTGAGATCCTTCATCTGCTTAAGTTACTAATCTCTATTTCATTTTAATTATTAATCATATATAATATAATCAGATTATCATTCCAGGTATTCCATCAAATGAAGATAATGACGATTCACTATGCGATATAAATGATCTAAAAGAATTATTCGCACTTAAATTGAAATTATTTTGATGGTTCTATTAATTAAATATTATATCTGCTGGATGTATAACTATCTTATTCGATTATTTGATAATAGAAGAAGGAGTATGTGAATCTTTTTTTGGTTTGATTATAGTTCTTTTCTGTAATTATTGAATAAGATTAGAAGTCATTTTAGTTAAATCTCTTTATGGAGTTAAATAATGTTAATTTTCATTGTAAACAGGTAAATCTAATTTCTTGAAATTTAAATTGTTATCACTTTCAAATGTTAAACATTAATTAGATTTTATGGGATTTGATGGTATCTTCCTGGTTAGATTTTCTTAGTTTTGTTCTTCTTCTTCATCTACTTTTGAGAAAATATCAAAATCTCTAATATTATTATAAATAATATAAATTACTATATTTCTTGACCAAATGAAGAATTATCTGAAAAATCCTCTTTTTCTAATTTAGATCTTTTAATTAATTGTTTAGTATAATTTTACCAAGCTTTAAAAATTACTAAAATTGAAAGATAATCACTTGCTATACTAAAATTACTATTGAATTCAACATAAGTAGCAATAAATGATCTTTTTTAAAATTTGTCTCTTCTAAAATAAAACAGCCTCATTTACATCTCTTTATTAAACTTTTTAATAATCTTAATTGAATCTTCTGATCCTTATTAAAAAACTTATTATTTAAAGGTTCTTCTAAATATTTCATAAATCAAAGAATTAAATTAGACGTAGCCTTAATCATCACTTCTAATTTTTAAGTATCCAGCCAAACGAGCTGCATCCCAAATATTATCTTTATAATGAGTAAATGGTTAGCCAATTTCTAAAAGAAACTTACAAATCTATAAGTAGTGAATTGCTTTTCCATGTCTTTTGCATGAGTACTTACACCAGACAGTTTTTATTTTGTCAATTGATTCAATATATACTTAAAGAATTGAATTTTCAGATTAAAAGAATTTCTCAAATTGTTCAATTAATCCTAAAACAAATAAATTTAATAACACATAGTTAAATATGAAAACAAAGGAAATAAAGTAAATTTATGTAAATTATGATCCACAATAACGTTCATCATCTCTACAGTATATATTATGAATCATTGTGTCAGTCATTATATTTCTAAAATTATCACATGTTCCACACTTTAATAAGGTCAAAAGAGAATTTGTAAAAGTTGAAAAATTAATTTAAGAATCTATTATGATTCCTTTATCGATATGTCCAAATAATTAACAACCTAATAAAGCATAAGACAATGTTGTTACAACCAAAATAAATAATATCTTTCCCAAAAATGGAAATGAAAAAATCATTACTCTGATTAATCTTTAGAGATCATCAAATCCTTTAAATAATATTAGAATTCGAAGATTCCTTAAAGCAAAAATTAATCGAATAATTTAATAATTTTCAGTAAAAATAGTGGATGTAATTTGAATTTTAAATAAATCATATTTTTAAGTTGCAATCAAATCAAATATTGAAATTATTACAATTAATGAATAAAATTATCTCCATTAATCATCTATAAATCTTTTAATTCCATAATCTAATAATTAGATAAAAACCCAAAAAGTAAAAAGGATTGATATTATCTCATAACACTTATTTAATTCTAATGCAATTTTAATATCCATATCTTAATAAAATGACATTTAAATTAATGAATCTAATATTAAAATAAGAAATGATAAATATTAGAAATATTAATTGTTATTTAATTTTTAAGCTATTCTTCTAACAATATTTCTAGGAGGTTATGAAAATGAAGGTGAATCTCTAAGAATTTTTTTTGAGATTTATATGAACTCTTATTAATAGACAGTTAAATCATCATATTCTATTCTCTACTAACTTGCTTTTAAATTTAGGAACAATAGACCAGTAAATAAGTTTAAGAAAAACATCGAACCTATAAAACAAAACACTGTTAAATAAATATATGTGGGTAATTAATTTGCAAATGGAGATGGACCTTAATCTGAAGGTCTAGAATTTTCAGCTACTTATAAAATCTGACCTAAACCATTAAATTAAGATATCACAAACAAAGTAGGCAATGCAACTGTAATATTATCAAAATTATGTTAATAAGTAATCCATCTTCTTCCTTCTTCTTAACATTATTCTTTATTTATATCAAATTACATCAAATCATCGCAGAATCCAAATTTATTCTAATATAGTATCATACCATAAACTGCAAACATTGTCCAAATTATTAATAATGTTATTAATACATTACTCATATTATATAAAGCAGCCACTAAAGAATTATACAATTTAACTATTGGTGTAAATGAATACAATAATTTAAATGGTCTTAAATATCTTAAATACAAAAATAAATTTAATATTCTACTTTCTGTATTTATTTATTATAAATAATAAAATATTAAAAACATTATGTCTGTTATTTACCAAATGTGCTAAATTAATTATTAAACTTACTTATATATAAGCTCCTTTCTCATGAAATAATCCTAATGCTATTATCAACATAGTTGTCTAAAATGTTATCAATAGATTAGTTATGAGAATCAAAGCATTTACAATAACCATATATTCCACATCATATGTTTATATTGCTATCAAAACAATAAACACTATATTCAATCCCAATCTGGTCCAATAAAAGATTTCTGATTTAATAGTTTTTACACAAAAGATTCTATATTTATTGAGCTTATCAAAACAAAATAAGGATTCCTTGCATTTAATTCCTAAATAAATCTTTCTCCTTTTTGTTTTTATCTATTTTACTAATTATTCTATTTATGTATTTAAAAGTTTACATATAGATTCTAAAAGATACCAATATTAAGTATCCTTCTAAACTTATTAATTTTAAGATAACTATTTAAGTGATTTAGTTGCTTTTTCCTTATCCTTTTCATTATCCTCAACATCTGAATCTGAATCTTGTTTATCAGATTTTTCGTCTTCAAATTTAATGTCTTGGTCTTTCTTAATCTCTACCAAATATTCTCCAAAACCATCCAATAATATAGCCATCACTAAACCATAAGTTATGTAATTTAAAAAGTGAATCATTGAAAATGAGTAGATAAATGCAAATATTTAATTAACTTATGTTCCTAATATTAACACACCATACCAATCATCATTTGTCATAATATTAAATACACTCATCCAAGATTTTAAGGGATCCTTATATGAATGTAAATGTCCGAGTTATGTTGTTTCATCAAAGCTACTAGCATAAATGGCCATACCCAATAATCCATATATAAGAATCATTAGAAACATAAAAAATGTCAAATAAATATATTATTTAAATGTTCTTTTTGCTATCAAACCTATTAATACTGCCATTCTTATATATTTTAAGCATCTATGAAAAAGCAGTATTTTTGTTCCTCTTAACATTCTAGCAATAATGTCTTATTAGTTTAGAATCTATCTAAAAGTCATTTCATAAAAATTAATTATAATGATAATAGAATCTAATATTATTTACTCTTTTTAAATTAATTTTGCTATAATAATAAAAACGCAATTATTACATGTTTAAAAAGAGATTATTTTTAAGACAAGTTCAAGTGAAACAATTATTGTTGTAAAATCTTCTATTACTGAAATAAATTGATTGGATATAATGCCTATCAAACTTAAACATAAAAAATTAATTAAAATTACACAATCCACAAAGAAATTTGTAAATTTATTTGTAATAATCATAAATGTTATCTTCCTAATACTTATTATTTTTCCTCTTATTCCTACTAACCAAATTAAATTATCAATATGATTCAAAGAATTTTTAATAACATTTTCATGTTTATAATTATTAATAACATTAGAAATGGAACAATTTTTAGATTCAATAATTCCAGTCTGCATTTCTGACATTCTTATTTATAAATATTTATCTTCATAATCTTTTATCTCATTAGCAATTTTAATTTGTATTTTTTTATTAATCAACTCAGATACTGCTTTATAATTATAATATAATCCATATATCTTAACATAGATTTCTTTTTCCTTATGTAGAATAAATGTATTCATGTTCTTTTTGATTTTAGTTTAAAGAAATGAATTATGATTAGGATGGATGGACAAAGTTTATTATTAGGATGTGACTTTAGATTAATAATGATGAAAATCTGTTAGTGTAATTCCACTTGAAGCAAATGATACTATTTTTTCTTTTAATCTTGTACTCTTAAATATTGGAAATTATTTGAATTCCTTTTTATTTTCTGGTTTATTCTTATTTTTTACATGATATATAAAAGAGAAAATTCTTTTTTGAATTAGCATTTACTAAGTGATTTCTGATTTACAAGAAACAACATCTGTCTCACTAGTTGAAACGTATTCCTCATTTTTTGAATTAGCCCAATATCTCGTAAATTCATTATGAGTCAAACACTTCATATTGATGTCAGGTTTTTCCATTAAATTATCATATAAATCTTAAAGCAAATTCTAATATTTTCTAATATTTAAAAATTTAGGCAATAAGATGGCTTTTAATGAAAATTACTATAAGAATTAATATCTATTTTCATATTTAGAATAGTGTTTTCCTGATAGTATACGAGGTTATTCTGACAGATCTGATGCCATTGAACAAAAACTTTTATTTAATAATGAATGATCACCTTTCAAATACAATTTATATTTTAAAATAGGATGATACAAACCAAATTATTTCAAAACTTATAAATTTAATTTCTCCTCTTTTTGATGTTAATCATCTTCTTTCAATTTATTTAATTTTTAATTTGTTTATTAACTATAATGAACTTTTAAAACTGCAATAACTAAATTAAATCCAAAAAAACCACCAAAAAAGATTATCAATAAATAATAAACCCATATATAAGTACCAAAACTTTTAAGAGTAAAATACATAACCCATGTCCAGTCATCTTTTGTAATTGTTCTTAAGACTTAAGCATAAGATGAAAAAATATTATTAAAAGATGTTGGAATATTTGGTCCCGATGAAACATATTGACAAACTAAATCATCAGGACAAGATGTGATTCTACATGAAATCCATGGTAATGTATCCAGAGAATCATATTATCTAGGTAAACATCTATAATTTATTAGACCATGAAATAAACTTTAACCAAGTGTAGCAAAAAATAAACCAAAAATAATAACAATGATTAAAGCTTCGACAAGGTATTTAAATGATTTACCAAGAGATTTCAACATAATTTTCAAGCCTAATTTAAAAAATAAATACCTGGTACAAAATCTCCCAAATACAAAAGTAATGTAATTAATCTTAAAGGAGAGAAATCTACAATGCCTATAATTGGGATTAAAGTAGTATTAATTTATAAGACTGTTAAAATTAAGTCAAACCAATTTTTAACAACTCTAAAATATGCATGCTTATGTCCTATTATTCCTTTAGAGAGTATTCGAAATATTTAATCAGCAATATATATGTATATCACCACTAATTTCAATAAAATTTTATTACCTTTTTCGTAAACAACAAACTTATAATCTTTAATGTATAAGATTTTATATACAAAAATAACAAGATTCACTAATATTATTATTGACATAAATATTTTGTAAAAGATGGTTCTTTGCATGTAGTTTACAATGATAAGTATTCCATATATAAATTTGATTATGAATTTTCTAAGTTCCAAAAAACTATAATTATCTTGATAAATCTATTTAAATAATAAATTACATTCAATTCATATTTCAATCTTTGATATCCATATATTTTATATAAATCAACTAAATAACTTTATTCTGTTTTTTGCTTAATTTTTTCATATTTTTTATTCATCTTATAGAATTAATTATCACTATTATTAATTGTCTTTTCAGTTCTACATTTCAATTTTTCTTAAGCAAACTTATATTTTTATTTCTAAACTTTTTCATTTATTTATTAAACAATCTAAACTAATTACATTCATTACTTATTTAGTACTTTCCTTTTTAGCTATTTCTGATCTGATTCCAAATCTTATTTTGACAGAAGAGATCTCCTTTCTTGATAAATTATCATTATCAAGTTTGTAACCAAAAATATTATCTTCATTTCGTAAAATAATGTTAGTTTATGTTTTTTTTTATTTTCTTGCTTTCGGTGTACCAATTTCAAAAGTGTTGAAGCTTTAACTTTTAATTTGTTAATTCAATTTCATATTTTCAAATTTTCTATTGTCCAGTCTACTTCTGAAATGAGCAATGTCTTATATGGATGGTTAACTACGTAGCTTCATTGACTTTACTTTGAGAATGTTATACGCTCCAAATCATCATTATTCATATAATATAAATAGTAATAAATTAAAAATTAATAATACATTATAGAAATATATTAGAAAGCCAATATTCATGATATTTTTATTATTATATTATAATTTATTATTTAATCCTTTCAATAACCATAGATGATGTGTCCTAAAAATAGAAATTAAAAAAGTTAATTAATAAGTTGATATCAGTAAATTTATTTACTTTGATAAAATTTCTGAGATCTCTATTTAAACTAATAAAAATTTATTTAAAGACAAAATATCAAAATGTATTATTTTTTTATCTTTTTCAATATATTAATTAGTTAAATCGTTGTTCCTTATTTATTTATTAGTCTCCAAATATTTTTCAATTTTCTGAAAATGTCACATAAAATTTCTAGTTGGTATTACGATTTACTATAAATTTAGTTATCAATTAATTATTTTTAATAAATTACAGAAATTAATTACCTTAATGTCTTTCTTATTTTCTTAGTTATATCAACTTTTCTATTTATAGGTGTTTTTGGGCTTTTAATTATTTGAATAATTTTTGTGTAAAAGATCAGACGAAAATTAATAAAGGAGTATTTTAGTATATGAAAATGAAGATTTTTTTTTTTAAACTACATCACATCTTTTCTTATTTTTGCAGTTTAATAAGGTAGTTTAAATTTTTATATTTTTAACTCTCAAATTTTCAAGTTTATTAGTAAAGGATTCATTATTAAAATCCAAAAAATGAATAGAAATAATTTTAAATCAAGAAATAATGAAATAATATCTCAAATTATACAATATTTAGCGAGAATAAATCGATCATATAATAATCGATAGCAATCCATTGATTAATCAGCCCGCAAATAAAAAAATTAGATCAAGACAATTTAACCATACAAATAATTTCGATTAACTAGATATTGATTTATTAACAATTTTAATTTAATTGTCTATTATTGATTTTGCACAAAAAAGTAATACAATGTATATAATTGATAATCATTGTGAATGCTTGCTAAAAAATTAATTAGTTAAACAATACAATGAAATATTAATAAAATGATAGAAAAAAAAAAAATTGATTAAAAATTAATAAACTTTATGATAAGTATTAAAATTTTTTATTTTATTTATCTATCTTTTGTAAATTATCTATTTGAGTATTTTATTAAGATTATATCATTTAAAGTTGTATATTAATGTAAATAAATCAATATAATAAAATGAAAAAAGTTACTTTAGAATATAGACTATTAAAATTATCTATATTTCCTAATAATAAATATTTCATAAATTCGGATAATACAAAAATGAATCCATACTATAAGGAACTTAGTTATTAGACATTAAAAAGAAATATTTAACATCTACAACTTTACATACACTTGAGAAAGCTGTTGAATAATTATAACTAACTAAAAATCACACTAATTTGATCTAACAAAATACTCAATTCATTTATATCTAGACTTTAATTCTTTTCTCTCAATTTCGTTTACTACATTTTTGTCTAGTGTCTTAGTAAGCAATATATACCCGAGACCATATCTAATATATCATCTAAATTGGCTAAATCATCTGGCAAAAAGGGAACTAATGATGCATCAAAATTTAGATTATCACTTCTGACTTCTAACATCTTTTTATAATCGTAATCTTTTTTCTATTCCAACATTATTTATACTATTTAAACAAAAAGACTTAATTTATTTAATATATTACGTAACATGACCTAAATCAGTCATTTTGACAATTTCAGATCTAAAAAAGTTAGGACCAAATACAACAGCCATATTATAAGTAGTCATTAAATTATGTTCTTATTCTTAAATAACTGAATTTAAGAATCCTAAAGAGAATAGTAATATTTATCTATTCAATTCTGGCATATAATCAAAAAGCATTTATACACTCACTTCCAAATTTTATTCAATTTATGGCTTATTTTAAACAACCCATTCATATAATTAATAAGTCATTATAGGTTCTTTTAATTTTAAGAAAAATTGTTTAAAAACACATGCTATAGTATGAGCATTTTCAACTTTATTGACAAATCCTACTTTTTAACATGCTAATGCTGCTTCAACTACTTTTTCTTCATAAACAGCAGCTTATTTTCTAAATATTCCTTCAGTTTTAAGTTTCTCTGGTTATTTTTCAAAGTATTAAACAAGCATATCTAAAATAATTGGAATACCATATTTATTTCTTTCATATTCATCTAAATTCAATCCTAAAATTTTAGAATCTTTATTAAAATTATCATCTGAATCTATTTCATCATCTCCNAATACAATGAAATATTAATAAAATGATAGAAAAAAAAAAAATTGATTAAAAATTAATAAACTTTATGATAAGTATTAAAATTTTTTATTTTATTTATCTATCTTTTGTAAATTATCTATTTGAGTATTTTATTAAGATTATATCATTTAAAGTTGTATATTAATGTAAATAAATCAATATAATAAAATGAAAAAAGTTACTTTAGAATATAGACTATTAAAATTATCTATATTTCCTAATAATAAATATTTCATAAATTCGGATAATACAAAAATGAATCCATACTATAAGGAACTTAGTTATTAGACATTAAAAAGAAATATTTAACATCTACAACTTTACATACACTTGAGAAAGCTGTTGAATAATTATAACTAACTAAAAATCACACTAATTTGATCTAACAAAATACTCAATTCATTTATATCTAGACTTTAATTCTTTTCTCTCAATTTCGTTTACTACATTTTTGTCTAGTGTCTTAGTAAGCAATATATACCCGAGACCATATCTAATATATCATCTAAATTGGCTAAATCATCTGGCAAAAAGGGAACTAATGATGCATCAAAATTTAGATTATCACTTCTGACTTCTAACATCTTTTTATAATCGTAATCTTTTTTCTATTCCAACATTATTTATACTATTTAAACAAAAAGACTTAATTTATTTAATATATTACGTAACATGACCTAAATCAGTCATTTTGACAATTTCAGATCTAAAAAAGTTAGGACCAAATACAACAGCCATATTATAAGTAGTCATTAAATTATGTTCTTATTCTTAAATAACTGAATTTAAGAATCCTAAAGAGAATAGTAATATTTATCTATTCAATTCTGGCATATAATCAAAAAGCATTTATACACTCACTTCCAAATTTTATTCAATTTATGGCTTATTTTAAACAACCCATTCATATAATTAATAAGTCATTATAGGTTCTTTTAATTTTAAGAAAAATTGTTTAAAAACACATGCTATAGTATGAGCATTTTCAACTTTATTGACAAATCCTACTTTTTAACATGCTAATGCTGCTTCAACTACTTTTTCTTCATAAACAGCAGCTTATTTTCTAAATATTCCTTCAGTTTTAAGTTTCTCTGGTTATTTTTCAAAGTATTAAACAAGCATATCTAAAATAATTGGAATACCATATTTATTTCTTTCATATTCATCTAAATTCAATCCTAAAATTTTAGAATCTTTATTAAAATTATCATCTGAATCTATTTCATCATCTCCAACTGCTTATTGTGTTTATTATTTTCTGAAAACAGTTTTTTTTCTTTAATTCTCAATATCTCTATAAGATTAATCATATGCTTTAACACTTTCAGGTAATGCAGCTAACATTTTATATTTAAACCATTCTTCTTTAGATAAGATTAGAAGTCTATATGTTTAATATGAAAATTGTACGTATCAGCAAATGTAGTGATTTTCTTAAAAAAAGATTTGATTTCATTCATTCCAAAAATACCTCCACCTTTAACAATAAAATTTGCATGAAGAACAATAAATTTCTTCATATGAAAAAAGTATTTTTCAGGTAAAGTTCCATAAAAGTCTTTGAAATCATTGAGAGTTGAAGCAGTCATCATATTAGTGTTGAAAAAGACTATGATAAAAAATCTATCAATTTTTGGATGCATAGTTTCAATGATATCAATTTTAAATGATTCATAATCTTACTTTTTACTTTGATCTGGAATATGTTCTCCATATATGAAATAAACTTGTACTTCATCGTTCTCATTGCCTATATAATTAAATGATATAAAATCATACTCACTAATTTTATTGCTGGTTTTTTGGTATAACTTTCAGATTTCTTGAAATAATGAGCAACTTGAAGTTGAATTTCATAATTCTTTTAATTTTACTACATCTAATCTTTCAATGGATTGATTTTGATTTTTTATTTGAGGAAAGCCTCAGCATCATTAATTGATTAATCCATAAAAATATTATTTTTAGAATTAAACTCTATAAAGTAAGAATAATTATTTTAATAAGAACTATATCAACAGAAAAGATTCTTTTAAGATAATTTAATATTTATTCTAATATTGCTTTGAATTAATTAATATTTTTAGAATAAAGTTATCCATTGTTTATTTGGATTGATATTTGAGAATAGAAACATTAATATTTCATAAATTAAAGTAAAAATCATTTAATACTAAATAATATACTGTTTTTAAACTTTCATAAATTTCAAATCATTTTATAAAATAATGATCTAAAAATCATAAACTTTAGATCATTAGTCAGAAGATGAGAATTAAAAAATAAGAATTTTTTTTTTTTATTAGCAAACTTAGATTATTTTAAGCATTTTTGTTAAAAGATCTTATATAAATAGTTGCATACCTAAAATATCATATACTTTATTTAACTTTAATATACTTTAACCTATATATATTAATTGATTATATATAATAATATAAAAATGAGTGTTCGTAGAGTTTAATCAGCAGTAGCTTCAAGTAAATAGACCACAGCAGTGATTCCACTTTCAGAGTTAAAGAGAATGCAAGATCATATTACAGTATATCATCAAGATACTCCAGAGAAATTTGAATTGTATTAATAACTGTTCACATAAGGCATAAATTATCGTAGGATCGTGTAAAGAATTGGAATAATACTTTAAAATAGAACAAGGTTTAGAAGGATAGAACCAAGTATTCATTTTGTAAATCTTATTTAAGGTTTGAACGTTTCAAGTAAGATGAAGAAGAAAGGAGAAAAATAGATGAAGATGAGCGTAGATATTAGGCACTTGTGAAATAATAAATCTTAGAAAAAGCTAATAAATAAATCTATGAGAATAATGAACGTATTAGATAGTTTTAATCTAAAATGCTTGTTGTAGATGCACTTTAAGAAAGAGAAGGATAAAAATAAATTAAGGAAATGTAGAAACTCTTAGAAAAAGAAAGAGAAAAGGTCTAATATGAATAAATGTTGGAATTATAGGCTGAAAAAGATTTTTTAGAAAAGAAGAAATAGTAAGAATTACAAGAGAAAAAAAAATAACAACATGATATGCTTAAGAAATAGCATGATATTATGAGAGTAATGTATGTTAATATTAGAATAGGATAAATTTATTAAATAAGTTCAAGAAGAAAAGATTGAAGGAGAATTAATGAAGGCTAAAGTATAGGCAGATTTAGAAGAAGAATAAAGAATTGCTAAATAAAAGAAAGATAAAATCATGGAGAATTAATAATTATTAATTTAAGGAAATGAAATATTAAAGAAGCAAAGAGAAATAGAAAAATAGAAATTATTAGAAGAAGAAAAAAAAATTGAAGAACATGCTAAAAAGAAGGAAAGAGTATTAGAAATTAGAAAAATTAGAGATGAATAAAGAAAAGCAGAAAAGTAAGCATAAAGATAAAAATTAATTGATGCTTAAACTGAAAAATTAAAAAAATAAAAAGAAGAATAAGAAAAATTATTAAATAAAAATATTGTAGAAGCTGAAATTAAAGCAGAAGAAGTTGAAAAAATGAAAAAAGAGTAGAGACGTAAATTATAAAGTGCAATAAGTTATAGTCATAAAGTTAAAATGGAAGTTAAATAATAATAAGAAGAAGAAGAAAAAAGATTAAATTAGGAATTCTAATAATATTGGATTAATAGAAATAAAGAATTACATGAATAAGAATTAAGAGAAAAAATGGAAATTAGAAAAAAAAATTAAGAATTAAAAGATTTTCATCATTAATAAGAAAATGAAAGAAATCAAAAAAGAACTTAAGAAATTATGAAAAATTTTGATGAAAGAGATAAATGTTTAGCAAGATTAGATAATCAAGATAAAGAATTTGATGAATGGGCTTCTTAAATGGTTAAAAAATATTAAGCAGAAGGTAAAAACACAGATATTTTGTTAAAGGAACTCAAGTAATTCAAATATAAATGATGAGTTTGACTAAATTTATGAATTTTTAATATAAATATTATCCCATTTAAGTATAATCCTAAATTGAAGTTGTTTTTAAAACACTTTAATGATTTAACAAAATTATTCTTTATAATATTATACAACCATATTTCATTTTCTATTATAAAATTAAATTAAAATTCTTCAATGTCTGAACTTAACTTCAATTATTATTATATTACCAAAAATAGGAGAAAATATATCTATTTTTGAAGTATTAAAGAATGAAATAAAAATTAGGTTGTTTGTAATTTATATATTTTGTGATAAACATCACTAAGATTATCATTATTCTTCTCCTTCTTCGAATTCTCCTTCTTCTTCAGCAGTAGCATCTTGATATTATTGATATTCAGAGACTAAATCATTCATGTTGGATTCAGCTTCAGTGAATTCCATTTCGTCCATACCTAGATTAGAATATAAATTATTAAATACCTTCACCAGTGTACCAATGTAAGAAGGCCTTTCTTCTAAACATAGCAGTGAATTATTCAGCAACTCTCTTGAACATTTCTTAGATAGCTGTTGAGTTTCCAACAAATGTAACTGCCATCTTCAATCCCTTTGGTGGAATATCACAGATGGATGATTTGATGTTGTTGGGAATCCATTCAACAAAGTAAGATGAGTTCTTATTTTAAACATTAAGCATTTATTCATCGACTTCCTTTGTTGACATTCTTCCTCTGAAGAGAGCTGAGGCTGTCAAATATCTTCCGTGTCTTGGATCAGCAGCACACATCATGTTCTTAGCATCGAACATTTATTATGTTAATTCTGGAACTGTAAGAGCTCTGTATTATTGAGATCCTCTGGATGTGAGGGGAGCAAATCCAATCATAAAGAAGTGGAGTCTTGGGAATGGAATCAAGTTGACTGCCAATTTTCTCAAGTCAGAGTTTAATTGACCTGGGAATCTAAGACAGCATGTAACTCCTGACATAGCAGCTGAGACCAAGTGATTTAAATCACCATAGGTTGGTGTTGTCAATTTCAATGTTCTGAAACAAATATCGTATAAGGCTTCATTATCAATAACCATGCATTCATCAGCATTTTCAACCAATTGGTGAACTGATAAAGTAGCATTATATGGTTCAACGACTGTGTCAGACACTTTTGGTGATGGCACTACTGAGAAGGTTTCCATAATTCTGTCAGGATATTCTTCTCTGACTTTTGAGATCAACAATGTTCCCATTCCTGATCCAGTACCTCCTCCCAATGAGTGAGTAATTTAGAATCCTTATAAGCAATCACATCCTTCAGCTTCCTTTCTAACTACATCCAAAACTGAGTCAATCAATTCTGCACCTTCAGTATAGTGACCTTTGGCCCAGTTGTTACCTGCTCCTGTTTAACCAAAGACAAAGTTGTCTGGTCTGAAGAGTTGTCCAAATGGTCCAGCTCTGACTGAATCCATTGTTCCTATGAAGAGGTTAAAAAAATTAGAATACCTGGTTCTAAATCCATAAGGATAGCTCTTGGGACATATCTACCTCCTGTGGCTTCATTGTAATAGACGTTGATTCTTTCTAATTGAAGATCTGAGTCTCCGTGATATGTTCCTGTTGGGTCAATACCGTGTTCATCTGAAATGACTTCCCAGAATTTGGCACCAATTTGGTTACCACATTGTCCTCCTTGAATATGTACGATTTCTCTCATTGTGACGGTTACGAAAAAGGATTTTGTTTTTTTTAATGTTTGAATTTTGAATTTCCACTTAGCTTAAAATGGGTCATCTCATAATATCTTTTTTTTAATTAATTTACCTACCCCTTATTATATTTTATAAAAGAAAATCACATATTAAATTATGAAAAATAATAATTGATGATAAATTATCATATGAAACTGAAAATATAAAATAATTAATGACGAAAGTTGTCAATTACAAAGTAAATGGTTCTGGAAGAGATACATATATCAATTATGGAAATGGTGGATTCTATAAATCAGACTCATTACATACAGAGGAGTCCTTTTACTAATTGTCTAAGCAAAACTCATTACCAATAATTAATAGCAAATTTAAGCTTTATCATACAGATGGGACAGGTCGAGATTCATACATCAGGTATTGGAAATGTTTAGAAAAAAAAGCGAGTCTTAGGGGGGTTTCTATAGCTATCAGCCAAAGTTAAATTTTTTAGGGAGATTAAGGCATTATGACCCATCTCCTGAGGCAATTAGAGAGAATGATTTTTTAAGAAGAAGCTAATTAGTGAAACCAGCAAAGGAGCAAGAGCGTTAGCTCAAGTAGCAGTGTTAGAGTATTTTAGATAGAGCGCAGTAGTGGAACAAGTAACTCAGAGACTACAATTACCGAAAATCAAAAAGGAATGATTTATTATAATATATATATACATATTTAAAATGTCAGATAGCTCATCTGATGAAGATTATCGAAAGTTCAATAGGAAGGCAAAGAAGTCTTAAGTACGAACAAACATCTAAGATCCAGAATCCACTAAGTTTGCCTAAGAATTTGCATAAAAATTGTTAAAAGAGAGAGGATGTACATAGTGTGTATGCTAAGGGAAGTTGACATTACAGAAGAAGAGATGGGATTCAAGAAACAAACTACTAAATAAGTGAAGACCACCACTTATGTACATAGTATTGATTAGGCAACATTCAAGGAATTATAAAAAGAATTCAATAAATGTGAAAATATAGGTCAGATTTGTACCATTTTAAAAGCATTAAGTAATCATAAAGAAGCCACACCTTAGCAATAATTATAGTATAAGATTTAGAGAAGCGATTTTTTGATTAAAAATAGAATGTATGAAGAAGCAAAGACTGAATGTTTTGAATTATTAGAGAAGGAATTAGCAACATTAGATAAAGTTAAGGTGTTGTTATCATTATGTAAGGCATAATTAGAGACAAATGAAACATATAATGGATGTATGTAAGCATTGAGATTAAAAAGCTATGCTGAAACAGTTAAATTAATGCCATCATTTAATCTTGGTATTTATGATCTCACTCCAGAGTAAATTTATAAACAAATAGATGACATATATTAAAATAATATATTTAAGATCTAAAGAGATAACAAAAAAGTTATATCTCTTTTAGGTGTATAAGGTAATAGTTCAACTGGTTGTTTGGGTTAAGGAGACTTAACTTAATGTAGTGAGTTAACTTCATATTAGATATTTAAAAATAGAAAAATACTCTCGATTGGATGTGGAGAACATCATGTATTAGTTTTAATTAGTGGATGTTCATGTATCAATCCCTATTATGTCAGTTAATGTAAGGGTGAAAAATGTAATAATGGTAATGAAGTATTTGGTTGGGGAGAGAATTTCTTAGGTCAAGTAACTATGAATGAATAAGATGGAAATTTTATTAGTATTCCATACAATATTAGTTAATTAAGCAATAAAAAAATTATTGGAGTTCAAGCATATAAAAGCACTTCAATTGCATGGGATTCTGAAGGTCGAATTTATCAATGGGGAGCTAAACACATATTTAAAATAGATCCAATTGCTGATATTTAATAGATAATTTTGGGTTTCAAATTCGGAGCTATTCTTGCTAAAAAGTCATTATTTATTATCGGTGAATTAGATGACAATATTAAATATCCAAAATTAATAAAATTAGCAGATAATATTGATTAAATTGCAGGTGGAGATAATCATTTATTATCACTCAATTCATAAGGTGAAGTATGGGGAATAGGATAAAATAAATTTCATCAATTAGGAGTCAATAATCATTAATAATATTCATAAATCTAAGAGGAAGAATGCTTTTATATTAATGCTAATGAAAATGCTAGTATTTTTGTTACTTCTGATGGTGAAGTCTTATATTGTGGTTAAGTTAGCAAAGAAAAAGTTATTGATTATCCAAAAACATTATAAATTGATGAAGATGTTCAAATCATATAAGCTTGTACATATGAAGGGGTAATATATGCTTTGAATTTGCAAGGAAAGATATTTAAATGGGATATTGACAAAGAACCAAAATCTAAGTTATTTTTATCTGCTCCTGTAAGACAACTTCATCTTTGTAGAGGGATTAGGCTTTGTGAATCAACTGCTTTATAAGGAGAATGGTGTAAATTGGAATTAGAAGATGAGGATCAAGAAGAATTCGAAACCTTTTCAGATATTAATCTTATTATCAATTTAGGAGATAAATATGGACCTTATGGAATCAAATAAACTCACCCAATCAGATATAATATTTTTGTTACTGATGATTCTGAAATCACTCCTGAATAGTTATTACATAAATGTCAAGTTGTTTCAATGAGTAAGATCTAGTCATAATAAGAAAATAAAATTTATATTAATTTGATGAATGATGGTTATAAAGCTGAGATTAAGGAGCTTGAAGAACCATCTAAACATAAGCTAGTTATATAAATAAATAAACCAGGGAATTATTAAGTTTATTTATATTTGAATGAATAATTACTCATTGATTGTCCTTTAACTATCAATTTAGTGGCAGGAAGTAGATAAGAGGAGTTGATTTAAGCAGAAGAATTAAAAAAATAACAATAATAAGCAGAATTATAAAGGAAACAAGCTTTGTTATTGAAAAAATAATAGGAAGAGGAAGAGAGATAGAGATTATTGAATGAATAATAATAAGAATTATTGTAGAGATAATAAGAGACAAGTAAAATTATATTTTATTTATATAGAGAAAAGAGCTGATGAAAAATTATAATCTTATTAATTAAAAATTTAGGAAGAAAAAAGATAAAAAGAGGAAGAAAGATAATTAAAGAAAGATTTATTAACAGGAGGTGGTTTCGATTTAAATAAAGTTAAATAATAATAATAAGAATAAAATTAAATTATTAATCCACCTAAGAAAATTATTAAATAAATCAATACTGCTCTAACTTAAAAAGTTAAATAGTAAATGTAAAATCTACAATAAGAAAGATAATAATTATAGTAATTAAATAATCAATAATAATAATAATAATAATAATAATAATAATAATAATAATAATAATAAAAACTATAAAGTAAACCTTAATCTTAGCCTCAAAAATTGAATCCTGTCAAAGCCACTCCTAAAGTACTTCAAAGTATTTAATCTACTAAAACCACTGATAAAGCATTTTCAACTTAGGAGACCTTCAAAGAAATGCAATAAACAGGATAATTTAGAAAAACAGATACTTAATTGTAAAAGATATAATAAGAATTCTAATAAGAATTTGAATAGTTGAAAAGAAAGGAAACAAATAAATATAAAAGATGATTAAATATATATAATTATATAAATATTATATGAAATATCAAGTTGATAATAAAAGTACAGAATTAAGAACTGAATAATGCTAAACAACTAAATAAGTTTTAATATCACATAATGGAGAAATACCTCTTATTAGTCAAACTGATATTTCATATCCCAAAGTTCCACAGAATAGAGAATCTCAAAAATTATAATGTGTAAACTGCTAAAAAGTATCTAATTCAAAATTAAAATACAAAAATGGAAAAGGTGCATATTTACTAATACTTTTGTTTGTTGTATTTATTATTACAATACCTTTGGCAATTCTTGTTTACTTTCTAAAAATGTTCAAAGATGTATAGCATTATTGTCCAGAATGTGGATGTTTAATAGGAACAAAGCATTTTTTAATAGGATGATTTATATATCAGTAATTTAAAATAATTAATCATGATTTAATCAAGCTTATATTATCATATAATTAAATTTAAGATTAAGAATTAAATAAGAATTTAAGAATTTTTAGATAATTTTATCGATTAATCTAAAAATTAAGTAGAAATCATATTATTTTTGAAAACCCTCAAAAATATCAATCAATAAATTATTTTTTTCAATTTTTGTTACCTTCTATTAAATAATTAATATTAGCTATTACATACTAATGCTAATTTAATTATAAATATAAACATGATCTTTTTTTTCTAAAATTTTTGAATGCATGATCTATAAAACTTATTATACTTCATGAATCAACTAATATCTCTCTAAAAAATTCCAAATTTTTCAAAACTTTTTAATCTCAAACTAAAATGACTCATTATTCAAATACATACATCTTACCCTTTTCTGAAATCATCTTTAAATCCCCTTCATATATACATTTCTTAGCCCATTTGTAAATCCCATAATCTTTTATGGTTTATCATTCACACACTACCAATACTAAATATCAATTTTAGTAGCATTACTATCTTTGCGCCACAATATTGTTTGAATTAATATGAAAAAATACCATTGTAATAATCATTTGAATTACATTACACTATATTCACCANTCTTAGCCTCAAAAATTGAATCCTGTCAAAGCCACTCCTAAAGTACTTCAAAGTATTTAATCTACTAAAACCACTGATAAAGCATTTTCAACTTAGGAGACCTTCAAAGAAATGCAATAAACAGGATAATTTAGAAAAACAGATACTTAATTGTAAAAGATATAATAAGAATTCTAATAAGAATTTGAATAGTTGAAAAGAAAGGAAACAAATAAATATAAAAGATGATTAAATATATATAATTATATAAATATTATATGAAATATCAAGTTGATAATAAAAGTACAGAATTAAGAACTGAATAATGCTAAACAACTAAATAAGTTTTAATATCACATAATGGAGAAATACCTCTTATTAGTCAAACTGATATTTCATATCCCAAAGTTCCACAGAATAGAGAATCTCAAAAATTATAATGTGTAAACTGCTAAAAAGTATCTAATTCAAAATTAAAATACAAAAATGGAAAAGGTGCATATTTACTAATACTTTTGTTTGTTGTATTTATTATTACAATACCTTTGGCAATTCTTGTTTACTTTCTAAAAATGTTCAAAGATGTATAGCATTATTGTCCAGAATGTGGATGTTTAATAGGAACAAAGCATTTTTTAATAGGATGATTTATATATCAGTAATTTAAAATAATTAATCATGATTTAATCAAGCTTATATTATCATATAATTAAATTTAAGATTAAGAATTAAATAAGAATTTAAGAATTTTTAGATAATTTTATCGATTAATCTAAAAATTAAGTAGAAATCATATTATTTTTGAAAACCCTCAAAAATATCAATCAATAAATTATTTTTTTCAATTTTTGTTACCTTCTATTAAATAATTAATATTAGCTATTACATACTAATGCTAATTTAATTATAAATATAAACATGATCTTTTTTTTCTAAAATTTTTGAATGCATGATCTATAAAACTTATTATACTTCATGAATCAACTAATATCTCTCTAAAAAATTCCAAATTTTTCAAAACTTTTTAATCTCAAACTAAAATGACTCATTATTCAAATACATACATCTTACCCTTTTCTGAAATCATCTTTAAATCCCCTTCATATATACATTTCTTAGCCCATTTGTAAATCCCATAATCTTTTATGGTTTATCATTCACACACTACCAATACTAAATATCAATTTTAGTAGCATTACTATCTTTGCGCCACAATATTGTTTGAATTAATATGAAAAAATACCATTGTAATAATCATTTGAATTACATTACACTATATTCACCAATCCGTCTGGTTTTATATTCACATAATAACTCTTATTAATATGTCAAATTTTTGTTTAATTCAAAATCTTCTTAGTGTTTAAATTATTATATTTATCCCCAATCACTAAAAATAAACTCCATTCATTAAAAATAAACTCTATAATCATCAGAATCATGCATAATCACCATTCTTAAACATAAGAGTCTTTATAGATTCCATATCATATATCTCTTATCCATTTTAAATCAATTTTACAATCACCATAGTTATCGTTACCGTTAGCCTAAAGCAATTTACCTATTCTATCATCTTCTTGAAAGATCGATTAGGAAATTAATTCAAAAAATGCATTTTTATGTTTCTATTATTTTCCAATAACCCTTTTAAGGTTCTTCCATTGTTTTGCTCAATAAAATTAAAAACCATATTTTATTTTTAGGTTTTCATATTAAAATTGCTTAATATGAACGAAATTTATGAATAATTTGTTCAATTTAATATTAAGAAAACTTTATGGATGTTCTATGTGTTTAATTTTAAGTGTTAAGAAATTTTCCATAAATTAGACTGGTTTGCATTATTTATTGTTTTAAAATATAGATAGATATGAAAATTTCTTTATGGTTGCATACATAATAATTTATTGTTTTGAATATAAAATAATTAAAAAAAATGAAATACAAAAATTATAATATCACACTCTTCTGCTAATAATTGATGGTCTTAAATCCCTGACATAAATTTACTATTTTTAAAGGCCCGAGAGATCATTCAGGCTATTTATGGATTCGAGATTTGGTTTGTCAATAGTTTAATTCATTATGCATTTTGATTTAAATGTCATAGAATTGCCTGCAAAATCAGTTGATAATACTGGGGGCAAGTCAGCAAAAAAGGGATGCTATAGTGCTTGGTAAGCAGTTATCCTCTCATCAGGATCTTTGGCTAACATTGCCTTCAATAAAGACTTAAATTTATTATCGTTTGTTTTACGATGCAATTTTTGGAATAATTATATTATTGAACAATAGACCAGTCTATTTAGCATTTTTTATTGTTTGCTAAGACTTGATCAGAAGTTTGTCCTTAAAAACAACTGATGCCTTTGGATAATCTAATTGGATGGGAATATTGTACAATTTGAAAAACACAACTCCTAGACTAAAGATATCACAAAGAGATGTCCAAGCTTTTTGTTAATCTTTTTTCATATTAACAATTTCTGGAGCCATATATCCAGGTGTTCCACATCTGTTATATTACAATTAATTTTTAATGCTCAATCCAAAATCAATAATTTTAACATTTCTAAAAGATGATTGAGAGATCATAATATTTTATGGTTTAATATCTCTATGAATAACTTGTTCTTAATGAATAATAACCAAAGCTTTAAGAATTGCCTATAACATAATTTTGATATCATATTCTTTAAGTTTATTTTGATGTTTTTTTAGTTGTTCAATAAGAGTTGCTAAACAAATTCCATCAATAAATTCAACAATAATTCCATACTAATGTTCTTCTATTCTAAAAACTTCATATATTTTAAGAATAGATTCATTGTTTAAAGAATGTAAAATTCCAATTTCGTTTTCTAATAATTACTGAATTCAATTAAATAAAATATATACCATATTTTCTTTATCATTCTTTTACTTACTGGAAACTTGCTTCATTGCAAATGCCTTATCATCATGCATCCTATAAACTTTATGTACTTTAGAAAATGAACCTTGTCCAATTACTTTTTCTAATTTATAATGTTCATCAAGTGAATGGAACCCAATTAAACAGCTAATAGCCTAACGAAATTTTGTTAATTGTTCAGAAGAAGCCTCAAAATACTTCACATTCTTTCTTTGAAAATATTGGTTTAAAAATAATTACTTACTTATATCTAATTCCAAAGGCTTTATTCTATCCATTCTCTTATTTCCAATAAACCGTATTCTTGAGATTCAATTCCAATTTATACTTTGGATTAGGGTCATTGAAATGCTACTTTTAATTATTTGTATACCTCTCCTATGGTAATCATATTCTGAAGTGCATGAACATGATAAACTTTATCCTTAAAAAGATGTCGACGTAAACATTTGAATGAATACTTCACATTCCCATAATTGATGGATGGCTAAGATTGTTAATTTTCACCTACAGATTAATTCATTTGTAAAATTAATATATATATATATTTAATTAATAGTTTCAATTAGTTATGCTCAATATTTTGATTGAATTATTGGCTCCCATTTATTTTATAGATAGTTCTATTTAATATCCACATTCATTGTATATATCTTTAGAATTATGAAATTAAATAACTCTCTGAAATTGATTTCTGCTTTCTTAATGAAATACCATCCAGTAATTGAAGCATACCCACAATTTTCCATTAATTATTTATTATAAAATACCCTAACTAATTACATAGAATTTATATCATTTCTTTCTTACTAAACTTCAAATATTCACAAAAACTTAACATAGTCAGCATTATAAATATATGAAGCTGCTAATTAATGATAACTCTAATATCTAAATTTTCTCAATCTTCAATTCTGGGAATATTTTTCAACTAATTAAGCATTATTATTTATTTATGAAATTCTAGTATCCATATCAAATATTAATAGAATTTATATGTAATTTGGTAACTCTACATAACATAAGAAATATTCATATTGAATATAAACATAAGGAGGTGAGTACCTCTAATGGCTACAGATCAAACATCCTAAGCACTACCTACAACTGAATACACTTGATATTAGTCTACTTCATAAAATCTTTCAAAATCTCTAAATATTTTTATCTATTCCTCAATAACATTCTTTAAGATTTTAATTCAATGTCTATTCCAATATTAAAAATGAGTATTGACTTCTTCAAACTCTGTATTGAATTTATCTTGCGAATATCTATGAAAACAAATTCAACCTCTCTAAAATAATTAAATATTTGAAAATTTGTATCAGATTTGTGATTTGGTAAAAATATGTTAAGAATGTAATAGATATATGAGATTTACTTTATCGATTCATTTATTATTTAATAATCCATAATGATTATATTATTAACCCTTAATAATAGTATAATATTTTTTATTAATTGAGAACTACTATTGAAAATTAACATATTAGATATAAACAATAATGTAATGTTACTTATAAATAGATTAATTTGATTTCCTATTAATACTACTATAGATATTATTATATTTACTATTATATTAGTAGTCTTTTCTAGTTTTATGTTCCTCCATTTATATTAATTATTTGGTATATGATTTACCAAAATAATTCAGTATTGATTAATCTTATGTTAGTAATGTTATTGATCAATTTATATAACTTATTATATTATTTTATCAAAATATGAAAGTGAAATCAAGAATTTAATTACGTTTACCAAAACATTCTGGACATTTGCAAACAGAGGCAAGTTAAGATTAATTGTAATCTACTAATGATACACGATTCAAAGGTGATTTGACTTGTAGATCTACTTTTAAGGGAAAGAATGGGATAAAAGAAGCTTTAATGATATCAAATATAAAATTAGCATTTTAAGAGGAAATAGATAAAATTAAGGAGGAGATAAGGATACCTGAAAAGTAATAATAATTGATGTAAGTGTTTATATGATTATATAAGTACTGAGATGTTATAATAAAATAGAGTTATCATTCAAAATACTCTAATACAATTAAATTAATTATTTTTAGAAAGGAAGGATAGAGATTAAGCAATAAAAATAATCAATGAAATAAGCAATTAAGTATTGAAATCTAAGATTCCAGGTATGATCACAAGTAATTATAGACTTAAAAATATTCATACACCTTAAATTAGCTAAAATTGTATGCAGTTATAAATTGCTCTACTTTAGTATAATATTAACCAAAATAGTAAAGAGAATGTCTGATAATGAACATTTATTAAAATATAAATTATTGGCTTATAAACTTTTAGGAATTTGTTTTTTTAAATTAAGGAATAGATAATCAAAAATATATTTTACTAAATATTTGATGTGTAGTTGGAAATTAAATAAAAAGAATCATGAATTGAAAGCTTATGAATATTTGGGGAAGTACTATTTTTAAGAGGGAGATGTAGACAAGGCCACAACATTTCATGAGAGAATGGTAAATGGAGCCATTTTAGTAATATATCCAAATAAAATAATTTAAGTTACCTTATTCATCTTTGAGAGTATTGGGCATACGTAAATTGGAATAAGGATCAATTGGAAAAGGCAAAAAGAATTATGGATTGGTAGAATATCATGAAATTAATGTTTCTAGTGATGCAGAAGGATTTGAATTAGTATTTAATGATGATGATTCTTTACCAAATAAAGTTGCAATTAAAAAAATGGATTAATTGGTTTAGAATGGATAAAGACAAAGTCTTATTAATTATCCTATTAGAAAGAATTTAATATTTCAACATAGGAGTTTACATCAATTAGAAAATAAAATCAAGACTCGAAATACACATCAATTACCAGTGATGTTAAATCATTTAAGTCCTAATAGATAATTAGTAAATTATTAATTTTTGGAATTAAACAAAGCAGTACCCAATTATAAATAGACTCAAAATATAGATCCTTATTTTGAGAGAAAAGATACTCAAAGCATTGCAAATTTAATAATTAAATTATCTCGTGTATTAGAATAAGTGGACATTTGGATTAAATTATGAATATATATATATATAATTATTTATATTATGGAAAAGTTATATATAGAGTAGATCACAAAATAATAAGAGGAAATCGATGAACAGTTAAAACAAGCTTAAAATTAGTAATGTAGAGATTGAGATCAAATTTAGATGTTGAATATGTATCATCTAAGTTGGATGATATTCTGAAATATCAATAGTAGGAGAATTCAAGTTTATAATCATCTAAGTAAATGACAGTACCAATTGAAGAACTTGTTGGATTAGCTAAGGAATTAGATGGAAGATTCTAAAGGTCTATAAGATAGCTTCAGATAAAATAAGTATGAATTGTTGATTAAATTAAAAGGATTAATTAGAGATTGAGCAGAGTTAATGGAAGAATTAATTGAGAGAGAAGGAATAATAGCAATTATTATAATTAGAATAAGAGAAAAGTCAGATTGATAAATAATTCAAAGAAAGATTGAGGACTATTCATATGAAATGAATTTATTAATTTTATTATAATGGGTCTTTTGAGAAGATTGTCTTAAATATTCAAATCTGAAGTTCCTTAGACTAATAATGATCATTTACATGAAAATCAATAGTATTCAAAGAAGGTATGAAATATATACCATTAGATTGTTTTGGAAAATGGAGAGAGCGTAAATGTTAGAGGAAATGAAAATTAATTTAATTTAGTAAAGACAAGTAGATATACATTAACAAATTGCTTATATGTGTTGATTATTAAATTTTTTAAGCGATTTCTCAATTTGTACTTATTTGTCATCAACATGATATAATTAGACTATAATTATTTAATTTCACTCCTGTTAACATTTACTATACATACTATAATTGAATTATACTTTGACATCTAAAAACGAGAACGTGATGAAAAAACAAACTCTCGTTAAGCAACAGTATTTGCAGATTTAAAAAAAAGTGTATTAAATACAACTTCATCTAAATTAATAATATAAGGAGGAAGAAAATCATTAAATTAAAATATAGTTGAACATGAAAACTTGGTTAATAATAACAATTATTAAAAAGATATATGTATGAGAAAGGTAAGTATAGATACAGTCACATATAAATAGGATAAATAAACTAGAATTCCATTATTTTCTATGAAAAGATGGGATTAACTTCAAGTTGGTGATATTATATATTTAAAAAATAATGAAATATGTCCAGCTGATGTATTAATTTTAGATATGGGTTAATCAGCTAGCATGGCTAGTAATACTGTTATGAGTGGTAATACTAATGAAGTTAGAAAACGAGCATGTCCTTTAACTACTATTTCTAAAGAACATAACATTTAATTACTGGATTATCGCACTATTTTAAATGGTGTTATTAGATATGATTAGACTGATTCTGATCAATATTATAAAGGTATGGTAAAATTGAAGAAGGATCCTAAACCTTTAGAAATAAATAAAGAAAATATCTTCTTCAGAGAATAATTACTTTTAAATGATTTATATATGTTTGGAGTTATACTCTCAGTTGGACTAGATTGTCGATGCTATAAATCATTTAAACATATTGAAAAATATGGTTATTTTGAATAAAAAGCAAATTTATACTTCTTTATTGCCATACTATCTTTAATATTGCTTAGTGTAATTTAATATATTATTGAATATTATGGTGAACATGAATACATTATAGAATTTTAATTAATCAACTATTCTAACTTATTACCTCTTTATTTTTATTTTCTAATTGACCTACTTTATTTTACTTAAATGTTATACTATAATTACTTATTCCAAAAAGAAAACGGAAACACAAAAAATTCAGTCTAAGATGCTAATCCTTTATTAGATAATGGACATATTAAATTAAGACATTTGCAAGTAAATTATTCTCCAATTTCTAATTTATCTTTGATTAATCATGTATTAATTGATAAAACTGGAACTTTAACAACACCTAATTTTAAGATCAAATGGATATTCATCTTTGATTCCCTTTATAAATTAAGATACAGATCATTTGCAGAAAAGGAATTTTAAAATGCCATTAAATAAACAAAAATGAGATAAGAATTAAATATACCAATAGATGAAAGAATAGAACCAGAATCTACTCCAATGATAAAATGTAATAATGAGGAAGTGAATTTCAAATTGGAAGATTTAGATGATGATCATCCTCCATATGATGAATTACATCGTACTTAACCTCCAAGATTTAGACCAGAATCTTAAGTAAGTAGTCAATTTGATTAAAGTGCTGAAGGAGCATAAATATAAAAATAATCATAACAGAGAGGTAGTAGTCTTATTGTTAACAGTTTACATGAAAGCAAAAGATAATTGACTTATTAAAGAGGTAGTTAAAAGTTTCATGCTCCAAGAATTCCATCAAATTTAGAAATAGTTTCAGAAGTTGAATTTTCTGGTAATGAAATCACTTTGATTAGAAGAATTTAAGATGATGAATTTAAACCTCATTATTTTGAAGCTATGTTTGCTTTAGTGTTATGTTAGAATACTAGATCATTATATTAGAAAAGTGATGACTCAATCTTTTATGAATATAGTTCAGAATTAGATAAATAATAATTACATTTATGCAAAAATTATGGTTATAAATTTATTTGTAGAAGTAAATATGAAAATTAAATCAGATATGTGATTTAAGATGGAGAAGATATTCATTTAATTGATGTTATGGCTTTACATTCATTTAATTCCAGAAAATTCAGTATTATAATTAGATTACAAGAAGAATTATGTAAAAAGTTAGGTCTAGAAAATGATGATTCTTAATATTTATAATATTTAAGAGATGATAGTTTAGATATGATAGGTTGTTTATCTTTAGAAAAGGATTAAGTGGCTAAACTAGATTTAATGATTAAAGATATATAAGTCTAAGGTAGCAGACCTGTTTTATTTTATAGAAGTTTAATGACTGAAGTACAAATGTACACCTTTATAAAAGAAGCTAATAAATTATTAGATATTCAATCAAATAAAATTGAATTTATGAATGAATATTAATTTTTAATGCATGAATTTGAAAAGAATTGCGATCTCGTAACTGTTATTGGAGTTTAAGAAAAAATAAAAAAACATGTTACACCTACATTAAATGGGATTAAATAATTAGGTATACCATGTTGGCTAGTTAGTGGAGACAACTATGAAAAAGTATTGCCAATAGCTTATAGAGTTTAATTGCTTAATTCAAATGATACAGTTGTTCATATATAAGCAAAAACTTAAGATGAATTATTTCTATAATTAAAATAATAGTTATAAAGTTTGAGTGGGTAATTGAGATCACATTCAAATAAGAAAGAATTAAGACATTCAGATACTTTGATTCATAAAAAAGGTTCATTTACTTGTAGTCCTAGATGGATTTCAGGTGGATAAAAGAATTTACATATTAGATAATTTCAAATTATTATAAATGGAGAATCTTTAGAATAGATATTAAGAGATGCTTATTTAAAGAAACATTTTTAATTTTTATTATAATTTACATCAAATTTTATTGGATATAGGATGACACCATAATAAAAGTCTATTTTAATAAAATTATTAAGAGATAGAAAGCTAAATTATAAATTTATATTGTCCATAGGAGATAGTTTTAGTGATATGAATTTATTTAATCATTCAGATTTCACATTTTAGATGTAATCTTAAAGATAAATATTCCCACATGATAAAAATAATTTTGAAGATCTACAACATGGAAGAGTCTCAATAAAATATTTGGATTAAGAATCATAATTCTGTTAACATAAATAGGATCATGGCTTTATAGAACCTTTATATAATAGTGATATCTATATAAAGGATTTTGAATTAATACATAGAATGATAGCATTAGATTCTAGAAGATCAGCTTTATATTTTGAGAGAATTTTAATATTTGCATTATTTAGAAGTTTCGCTATCATATATTTGGTTTGTGTGACATAATTGATTAGAAAATAAGTTGATGTGATATCTAAAGATTATCTTAAATTTCATTCTAATATATTCTTTTTACTATCAAGCACCTTTATTATAAGTGAGATAAGTGAAAAGGTTGAAAATTGTAATCATAGTGATTTCTTGTATTTTGTATTTAAAAATAACTAATTAGAATTAAATAATAATAAATTTGGTAAATATATAACAAGAATTACATTATTTCCATTAATTTAAGCCTTATTGATAAATCTATACACAGAATATACAGATCTATCAACTAATAATGGAATAATTATATCCTCTAATGAATTAGGATCAGGATTATTTTTATTATTATTGATTGTGGATGCTTCAAAATTAGTATAAAGAAACTATATTACTTAGAAATAGTTGATTTTTAATATAGGATTAACCTTTGGATTATATACTTTAATTTCTCTTTAATTTGATTCAATATCCATAATATATCAATGGGCAGCATCAATATAAACTCTATTTTCATTTATATTTATAGTAGCTATCCATACTATTGCTAATTTAGTACTCAATTATGTAAATAGACCTTTCTTTATGCCATTACTTATATAGACTAGTAATGAGTATGATGAGATAGTTAAAATATATAATAAAATTTCAGGTGATGTGGCCAGATAAATAAAATTACATAGAGCAACAATAGAGAAGATCTCTTATTTTGCAAGAAAACTCTTTAATGGAGATGAAGATATGGATCCAATTATAAAGTAGATGTTGAGTGGAGCATTTGCAGATGAAACAGAAAATTCTATTAATTCAATAACCTTAAGATTCAAATCGTAATTGGTACAAAATAAGTTTACAGAAGATACTCTTATATATATAGTAAGAACTTATAGAATAATAGTTGCAATTACATTTTTATTCTATGAGATAGCTATTTATACAATTATTTTATTAACATTTGATAATTTTTCATTAATTTATTGGACTGATTACTTTTATATCTCAATGTTTGGAGTACTATTATTATTAATGTTATTTTGTTGGTCTCGCTATTATAAAGTATATTTCTTTGAAGTAAATTTTATTATTTTATTTATTCGATGTTCATCTATTGTTATTTGGTTATTTAATTAAGATTAATCTGTAGGAGAAATGAATCTAAATATGTTATAATTAAGTTTATCAGTCAATATATATCATTATTAAGAATAGCCACTGATCAGTTAAGTATTTTCTGCTATTTATGTGATAATTTATTTAATTAAGAAATCTGATGAAGATGACATATATATTCTCATTAACCAATATGTAATGAGTATTGCAACTTTGTTTTTATTGGTTGTAACATTTAGAAGAATTATTCACATATTTTTAGAGGTCTTTTTAGGCAGAATTAATATGAATAAGGAGAATCAAATAATGAGTGATATCTTATCTATACTTCTTCCTTAATTTATAAGGGATCGTATAAATAAAGCAGGTTAATATGATATTTAGGAAGATTAAGGTATGGTAGCTGTATTATTTTGTGACATCATTGATTTTGATCAATTAATAAAAAATGAACAATCTAATGTAGTTGATATTTTAGATAAGTTATTTAGAAGATTTGATTTACTTTGTTAACAATATGAAGTTTAAAAAATTGAGACTGTGGGTAAAACATATATGGCTGCTGCAGGACTCAAAATTCATGTTAGTTAGAAATCTAATCCTGTTAATAAAGTTATCTCTTTGGCATTAGATATGAAAAGACATGTTATGTCAAATGAAGTTTTTTAAATTAAAATTGGTATTCATTATGGAAATGTTATTGCTGGAGTCATAGGTCATCATAAACCATAATTTAGTTTGATAGGTGATACCATTAATACAGCAAGTAGAATTTGTTCAACAGCTGAACCTTGGGATATTGCTATTTCTGAATAAGCATATAGATAGACTAATAAATTTGAATTAGTTTATGTTTAGAGAGATGTGTTTGCAAAGGGCAAAGGAAAATTAATTACTTATGTTGTTAATACTAAGAGAGGAGGTAAATAAAGAAAATAAACTATAATGATTTAAAGACCTCCAAAATAACCATTTAGAGATCCAAAAGAATATTAAAATTTAGATTAAGTCAATTCAAATTTATTATCAGAATTTGGAATTGGTTCTATTAAAGATGCATAACCTTTAATTACTAGGAATGAAGATCCATAACCATTGATTCTTAATAAAAAACAAAAAAGTGAGATTTATAATTATGTTACAAAAACATAAAAGTAAATAATTATTGATAGTCCAAATAAATCAATTTAATAATAAATGGTATTTTAATAATCTATAGCATAATTTCCATTAAATTAAGGTGTTGGATCATCTAAAAATTATGCTTCTTAATCTATAGTTGGTGGCATTTATTCTTAAGGATTTGATGATAGAAACTAAAAACATTAAGATCTAATATAATTATTAGAAAAGAAGACTAGGTGTGAATTAAATGTTTCTGATTATCAATTAAATATGGAATACCATGTTGAAAAGGATAAAATTAGGGCTCTTTATAGTGTTGATGAAGATGCTCAAGGTCAAACTTTATTATTGACTCTTAATCCAAAAAAATTATATTTAGAATTTAATGAAGATGCCACTGTAACACTAGAATTTTATGAATTTTTATCTTCATTATATAGACCATTTGCAGTTTAATATTTATTAACAATAGGTTCATGTGTTTTAATAAGTTCAGTGTCTTGTGTGAGCTTGAATGAATAGATATTTTTAGCCAATTTAATAACAGGAGTATTTGTTGGACTATTACATATATTATTATGTACTTTAATACATAAATATGAATCTTTTTATAATGTCATATACTTTTAAATATTAGCTTATTTATTACTTGTTAGTTATGCTTTGGATTGTTTTTTAATTACTAATCATTATGAAATTTAAATAGCTAAAGGAATCATATATTGTCTTAGTGTTTTACTTAATAGAGTTCTTAGACATTAACATAAATTAATCTATCTAGTTCTATTTTTAGGATTGACAATAGCTGCTATTATAGTAAATGATTGGCCATGGAGTAGATTCTATTATTGTGCTATTATTTCTATATTTGCTTTTTGTATTTAATTATTCATGTTTTTGAAGAATGTAAATTCATATAATGTCAACAAATAATTAATTGAAAAATCAATCAAATACTAATTTTTATTGAATTATTTATTACCTAAAAATGTATAATTTTATATATTTCTATATATTAGGTTCTTGAAGAGTTTTTTAGACCAAATGAAGAAAAACGTGTATTAAGAGAATAAGCTGATGAAGTAACTTTATTATTTGCTGATATTGCTGGTTTTACAGAGTATTCAAGTAGTGTACAACCTGAATAAGTAGTTAATATGTTGAGAAATCTATTTACTGAATTTGATAAAAATTGTCTTTTACATAATGTTTTCAAACTATATACCATTGGAGATTGTTATGTTGTTATGGGAATGGTTGATTATGGCAAAGGAATATAAAGAAATCCATCATAAGAAGCAGTCAATGTAGTACGAATGGGATTTGCAATGATTGATGCTATAAGAAGAGTAAGAGCACATATCAATCATCCTACTTTAGACATGAGAATAGGAGTTCACACTGTATATTTAATTTTATATTTTATATTAGGGTTCTATAATTGGGGGTGTTCTTGGAACAGAGTTAGTAAGATATGATATCTATGGACCTGATGTATTGATTGCAAATAAGATGGAATCCAAAGGAGCCAAAGGATTTGTGTAAGTATCTCAAGAAACAAAGGATATTATTGAAAAAGAATTCCCTGATCTTTTCAGATTTGAATATAAATAATCTATAGAGTTTGAATCTATTGAGAGAAAGACATCAGGCTACTTTGTTTATTAATGAATAACTAATTAATTATGGTTAATTGAATTCAAATATATAGAGATATTGTTTTGTTATTTGATAAAAAGGAGAATCATAATTAATCCAGTAAAAAATAGGGATTGTTTGAATTCCTAGGAATATATGTTACATTCTTTCTCATCAGTCGACCTACACTTGAATTTAGTATCACTCTCTCTTAGGAGTTGATAATTGTCTCAAGCAGTAGTTAACTCTTTTGTTTTCTTTCTTTCCAATATTGTTATTCTTTTATCAAAGGATCTGTTTTTGTTCGCACTCCTAGACCATGCAGATACTTCACTATTTCTAATTCAGTCTGATAGACTTTCTAGTCTATATAATATTCGATTGAATCATTCAATTCACTTTTAGTCATTGGACTACTCTAAGTTGAGCTAGAGCTAAGAAGATTCAGCACTGGATTTGAATAATCATAAGTTGGCTTCATGAAATCTTTATATACCAGAGTATTTTTAATTAAAAATATAATTTTTTTCTTCTTTTCTTAATTGAGCATATATATGTGAATTGATGATTTCTTATTATTCACTGAGGATCTCTTTTTAATTTGAATCTGGATTGAATTATTTCATTAATAAAATAATTCATAATTCAAACTATTAATAATCTGAAACTTAAACTTCAATTTCATTGCTGCATATCCTTAAGTTTGTTGAATTAATATATCCTCTTTATTATAATTAATAATTAAAAGTTGAGATAATAAGTTTTGATTTTATTAAATTTAGAATAATATTATAATCAATTATTAAAAATTGATAAACAATTAGAACAAACTCTATTGAATTTTTTAACAACAAAATTCTATACATTATTCACTCAATAAATTCAATTTACTGATCTTATTCAATATATTCAATGACATATTATTGTTTTTTCTTTAATTTTTTATATATTTATATTTTCGAAATATTTAATATTCTTTGAAATATCATTATTTTGCTAATTAAATTAAAACTATTAAAGCAATTTGTATTCAAATAAAAAATTTAACTGAAATTCACATAAAGAAGATCCTATAAATTTCATTAAAATATGTTCCAAAACTATTTTAGTTATCATATAACTATATTATTTAGTAAATAATAATATATGAATTTCTTTTCAAACTAAATCTATCTTTTGTTTTTTATAAGACACAATTTTTAATTATCAATTATAAAAGTATGATAAATACAATTAAGAATGGTATATATGATTTGAATTCCAAATATTATTTGCTTTTGTACTATAATTATAAGTAATATAGTAATATATAAATAACAATTAAAAATATTTCTTATTAATTTGATATCTAAATAATTATATAAGAAGAAGTTCAATATTTTAATAATTATAATATATATATTAAATTTCTATTTATAGAGATCACTACTTTCCATAGAGCTTATTTTTTATTAGATATTATTTCAAAACAGTTGGACAATCAGTCATAATTCCATGGCATCCAGCTTTAAGAGCTCTTTCATATTCCTTTTCATTATTCAAAACCCAATAGTATACGAAAATCCCTCTTTTATGTAAATGATAAAATAATGGCTTAGAAATTAAACCCAAAAACCAAATAAAATTATGACTTTAATAAATTAGAATTTAAATTTACAATAACATTTGCTAAAACTTCTCTGAAGTCGAATTTGCAATTTATAGTTTCCACAAGTAAAAGTCATCTGTATATAATGGTGCTTACATTGAATCATCTGGTATATCAAAGAAAGGTAAGAGACCTGTCATATAGAGTAAATACACTCTCAATATTCCTTCGACTGTGAAAAATCTAGGTATTGCAGGATTAATTGATTTAAGTAATTCATTCTACTTTTAAACTATTAATTTATTAATTATTCAATACATCTAGCTCCCCATATGATTGTATCTTATCTTTAATACTTTAGAATTAGATCATTGACAGCTTAAACAACTTCTGGATCAGGAGTTTTAATTTCAACATTAATTAAAACATCTGGAAATTTTTTAAGAACATCTTCAAACAAAGGCATATAAGGAGTTTTGCATGTTGAAGTTGAAATGTAATCATTAGGAGCAAAATCTAATCTGACTCTTTCTAAGAATTTTGGTAAGTCTGCATAATTATACTCTTTCACATGTGCTTCTACACCACACATTCTTAATAATGAAGAGTCATGCAAAACTACAATCTACTTTATTTATCAAATATACTTTCTTGTCTTTTGTCATGCATAAATCCATTTCTAAACAATCTGTACCAAGATCATAAGCATGTTAAAAGGCTTACATTGTATTTTCTAAATTTTCACGACATCCACCTCTATGTGAAATGTGAATGATGCTTTTTCTTTGACGATATTTTTAGTATTTTTAATGTTTAAAGACATTCTTCTTCTTGTAAGGGAAAACAAAAAAAGTTAATGACAAAGCCCAATATCCTATGAATCCATAAAATAAATAATTCATTATATTTTAATTAATTAATTATATTTATATATAGATATTATACATCTATTATTACTTTAATATCTAAATAATATTAAAAAACAAATAAATAATGTAAATTCAATTGAAGATAATTTAAGAATGAAATTTATTGATATTAATAACAAAATATAGAGATTTATTTGATCAAAATAATGAAATCAAATTAATTTAATGAGATTTTTAAATAAATATCTAGTTTTTCAAGATTATCTTGTAAAAATTATGCTAGAAAATCTTATCAATAGACAATTATACATTGGGATAGTGTTTATAAATACATTTTATTGTATAAATTTCTATCATTTACTTTTTAATTATTTATATAGATTAAAATATAATTAATAATAATTTATATAATAATACATATAATGGCAGAAACGAAGGAAGAAGTTAAAGCTTAACCAAAAGTGTATTCATATGCAGACTTAATTGAATTCGAAAATAAACAAGCTTTTAGTTCAATAGGCAAAATGCCTATATCCACAAAACAAACTCTACCAAGTTACAGTTTCGGTTCTGCTGAACGAGCAAATCAAGCAAAACTTTATCATAATAAAGAACTTGCCAGAATCGATTTTGCAGGTATTAATCATATTTAACAATACTTAAAGGAAAGGCAAGTCCTGGACCTGTTTATAATGTTAGAGGAGGAGATCAATTTTTTTATACAAAAGATGCAGATACAAAATTTGGTAAAGATCCTCGTAATACTTTGAACACAGGAGCAAAATTTGATTACTATCAAAGAAAGGATGTTGATGTATTAGAATTTTTTTATATTAAAGTTTGAACCTTAAGAAGCTGATTTAGTTAGAAAGCCTAAAGCTTCTAATGTAAAAATTGGGTTGGAATCAAGAGTATAATATTATTAAATATTATTTAGTTTCCTCCTGAAAAAAGGCTCAAAGGAACTCCTGGTCCTTAATATGATCCAGCTATAAAACCTGAGGTTCCAACTCCACCTTAATTTTCTTTCGGATATAGAAGAGATATTCCAGGAGCATCAGCATTAGCTCCTACATGTTCAACTCCTGTTATTGTTGGACCAGGAGCATATTTACAAAAGCCTCCTGCTAATACAAGCAATTTGGAAGATGCTTCTCATTGGACTATTCCAAAAGGTCCAAAGATAGGGAAGATCTTTGAAGGATGGGATAAGAATCAAACATATGATACTAAATAGTAAACTTAATAAGATAAAAAGGATTGCTGTAGGTGTGTAAGTGAATTCTAAAAAGAAATCATATCCTGCATTCAGTGTTGGAAAATCTACAAGAGAAGCCAAAGTAGGACATTTTAAGTAGTTGATGGTAAAGGTTCCTTCAAAAGTACATATTCCTCATCCTAAAATTTGATGATTAAAATATATACGAAAAAGATTTTATAAAACTCTAAAGTTATGAATATTTATATATATATTTAATTATCATAAACTAATATGGGTTCTTCCTCTGATATTGACACTTTCCCATTGATATTATTTAAAACAGTCTTAATTACAAAACCATTAACCAATTTCATAATATGCTTAATCAATATCAATTTGTTTAGCACATGACTGAGACCTACAGAGATACTAAAATTAACTATAATTTTATTACTAGATTTTATAGTTTAAATGATTCAAGACATTCTTTTGTGCAAAATTCTTTGCCATTATTGCATATTCCAAATTTCTAATCAAACAATCTATAACATTAATAGCAAGATGTTTTATCAATTATTACAGGTTATTAATCAGTCCCTTATTTTTATTCATAATCAATATCAAACATTTTCCATTCATTTGCTCCTGATAAGAGAAATTTCATCTTATTTCTTTACTATTCTTCTTTTTTATTTTATCTACTTGATATGTATCCTAATGATTCATCTTCAATTAAAATTTCCTCTGTATGTTATATTGCTTATTCTTTCTATTCTTTCTATTATTATTATTATGATTATCTATATTCCATAACTGCCTCCTAAAATAATCTATGTTGTTCTTCTTCATCATAGATTTCTGAATTAGCAATCTCTTATATATGACTTTAGGATTCTTTTAAACGTTAAGCTTATTTTTAAGATTGAAGAAGCTTTCTTTCCTCTGTTTCCACTAATTTTTGCACTCTATTCAATAACTTCCTTGCATCCATAGGAGGTATATTCATGTCTTTTAAATGATCAACTGATATTTCTTTTAGAAGCTCCATTTCATCAAATCCATTTTCAAGTATTACTCCTGCATGTTTATCAAGATTAATGGAATTGAGGAATTTGACAACTTCATTAGAGTATTCTAACTAATCTAAGTTTGTAAGATTTACATTATTAGACTTGAAGTGCTCGTTTCAAATTTTCATTAGCTGAATTCTTTCCTGCAAAATTCAGACTCTAAGTCAAATAGCTTTGATTCTATTATGATTAAGTTTCTGATTGTTTGCTCTATTTAGAAAATGAACTAGAACGAGATGATGGTCTGGATGGTACTTTGCTTAATTTATTTTTCTGTTGGAATGTCTTTGCAACTTCCCTATGTTTTTCTAAAACATGCTTTCCATAATCTATTATTAAATATTATTAACATACTTCTAAGAGGAACATTAGTGGAAGCTGCTGACCATCTCGTAGATCCTTAGCTTGTTGACATTTTTTCTTTAGCACTCTCTTTTTGAGATTGTAATATTTATTTAAGTCCAACAATACGTTATTCCTAGGCTAATAAAAAAACAATCAAACCATAATATCCACTTCTACTTATAATTTTTGGGTATTTCCTTTACTTTGACTCTTCTTTCTCAACATTAATTTAATTATTATAAAAATAATATTTTGAATTTAGTTATTAAAGACTATGTATAATTAATTATATTCAAAATAATAGGGAATTTATATACCTATATATATAATCATAAATTTCAATTTTTGTATTATTACTATATATCTATATAAAAAATTAAAAAATTGTGATAAATTTATTTACTTTATTAAATATAATTAATATCAACTTAGATTTTATTCAATTCATATATTTAAAATACATATATATGAATTATCTTTATAAAAGATTTTGATTAAAAATATAAAATAAAATTTTAAAAAGAAATTTTTGATTTAAAAATTAAAATATAATTATACAGATCAATTAAAAATAGTGTTAATATAAAAAGATACATGTTTCTTATAGAGTTAAGGATTATTGAAATATTATAAAAGGTCTAATAATTATGAAGGTTTATTTTTATCTTTCATATTCTTAGCTAATTTTGATATGAATGATTTATCTATACTATGATTAGAATTAGCTAAATATATGAGTTCACCAACATTAAATTTAATAGTTGTAGTTTCAGGATTCTTGAAATTCTAAGCAAAATCTTCCTCCTGAAATTTAGATAATTAATTATATGTAGCATCAATATATGCTAGTATTAATTCAGGAATTCCACGAATCATTCCACGAACCATTAAATAGTCCCAACATCTTATACAATCTTCCATTTTGAATACATAAGTGAAAAGAGATAAAATCATTTTACTTAGCCAAAATGAATCACATATATTCTATAAGTTAAGTTTAGGAAATTTCTTTTTAATTTGTTAATGTATCAAGTTAGTCAAAAAAGAATGAAGTGGCATATCATCAGAGAATGCAAAACATAATAAATGTTATTCATTAATTAGCATTTACATAAAAGCTTAAAATACTTGATGTTCATCACAACCGGAAACAATAAGAAGAACAGCACAAATAAAATTCATACCTTAACAATAACCCATAGTTGGTAAAGCATTAGATATAGCACAAAGAATTCTTTTTAATTATTCTTATCCACAACTTCTATGTTTAAATAAAGCAGAATCAACAAGAGTACGATTAATATCATTGATGATGTTAGATATATCTGATGGTTCATATTCTAAATACTTTTCATAACTAACATGTGGTTAACATTTAGTTAACAAATTCATCCAACTTAACCATCTAAATTGTTTAGGTGGACCTAATAAAACTAGTTCCTTAAATTCTGGTCTATCAAGTAACGAATTAATAGTTTATTATGAATCATTGATTGTACTTAAGCTATTGATAGCTTCCATCCATCTTTATTAAGCTAAGTTATTGCGATATTAAGGTAATGCTTAACCACATTAAAAATGAGTATAGAAATCTTGATTATTTTCTTTATCAACAAGTGTTTAGATACAAGAACCAGATGTTAAATCTTCCCTTTTCCATTTTGATTTAGTTTTAGGAGAAGTGTAATTTGTTTGATTGACAGGTATTTCAGCTAGACAGACATTGTTATTTCCCATTGATAGATAAATAAAATTATTGTTAATTAGATGATATTCAATTAAAATTAAAAATCTCGTTAATTAGACAATTAGCTTTATCTAAAGCTTCAGTATTAGTTTTGACTTTCTTTTTTGTTACTTTAATTGGTTAACTAGATTCACTTGTTTAAGAATATTCATCATAATTTTATAATTTAATTGTTCTTTTTCTTAGATTGATTGTGTTTTAATCATTTTCATTATTAATTTTACCTTTAGATGGAGATTCCTTTTTTTAGGTCTTTTTAGTTTTTTTATTCAACTTTATTTATTCAGCAAATTAACGCATGATTAGATTCTCCAATTCATCAAAAGAATCATAGATTAATTGTTTATTGAGTTCAAAATCTTAGAATTAATCTTTTATTGATTGTATTTTATCATGAATTGGTTAATATTCTTGTTCAACTTCTTTAAATAGATATTGTAATTTCTATATTTCTTGATTTTTTTCAAGAGCACTTTACTTGAGTTTGTTTAACTATTTTATGACTAGAATATAATATTAGATGTTACTTTCTTGGTTTTCAGAATAAACCTACTCACATTTTTATTAGAAAGACTCGATCATATTATGACTGTTATTTAATATATTTAATATCATTATAATTTTGATAATGCACTTAAAATTTGTGGAACCTCCATTAATTTTGGCTTTAATTATTTTTTAATCTATATATTTGAGAATTTCCTTAAAGTTCTCAATAATTATAGCACATAAGACATATTTTCATTAGTATTTATTTATTCAATAGCATATTTTATTGTATCAGGTATTTATTCTTTCATTTAATATCTGACAAATTGTAATTTTAAAAGTAAACCATATTAATCAAACTAAAGGTATTTCTGAATGTATTACTCCTTATTGTTTTTATTAGTGTAATNTAACATGTGGTTAACATTTAGTTAACAAATTCATCCAACTTAACCATCTAAATTGTTTAGGTGGACCTAATAAAACTAGTTCCTTAAATTCTGGTCTATCAAGTAACGAATTAATAGTTTATTATGAATCATTGATTGTACTTAAGCTATTGATAGCTTCCATCCATCTTTATTAAGCTAAGTTATTGCGATATTAAGGTAATGCTTAACCACATTAAAAATGAGTATAGAAATCTTGATTATTTTCTTTATCAACAAGTGTTTAGATACAAGAACCAGATGTTAAATCTTCCCTTTTCCATTTTGATTTAGTTTTAGGAGAAGTGTAATTTGTTTGATTGACAGGTATTTCAGCTAGACAGACATTGTTATTTCCCATTGATAGATAAATAAAATTATTGTTAATTAGATGATATTCAATTAAAATTAAAAATCTCGTTAATTAGACAATTAGCTTTATCTAAAGCTTCAGTATTAGTTTTGACTTTCTTTTTTGTTACTTTAATTGGTTAACTAGATTCACTTGTTTAAGAATATTCATCATAATTTTATAATTTAATTGTTCTTTTTCTTAGATTGATTGTGTTTTAATCATTTTCATTATTAATTTTACCTTTAGATGGAGATTCCTTTTTTTAGGTCTTTTTAGTTTTTTTATTCAACTTTATTTATTCAGCAAATTAACGCATGATTAGATTCTCCAATTCATCAAAAGAATCATAGATTAATTGTTTATTGAGTTCAAAATCTTAGAATTAATCTTTTATTGATTGTATTTTATCATGAATTGGTTAATATTCTTGTTCAACTTCTTTAAATAGATATTGTAATTTCTATATTTCTTGATTTTTTTCAAGAGCACTTTACTTGAGTTTGTTTAACTATTTTATGACTAGAATATAATATTAGATGTTACTTTCTTGGTTTTCAGAATAAACCTACTCACATTTTTATTAGAAAGACTCGATCATATTATGACTGTTATTTAATATATTTAATATCATTATAATTTTGATAATGCACTTAAAATTTGTGGAACCTCCATTAATTTTGGCTTTAATTATTTTTTAATCTATATATTTGAGAATTTCCTTAAAGTTCTCAATAATTATAGCACATAAGACATATTTTCATTAGTATTTATTTATTCAATAGCATATTTTATTGTATCAGGTATTTATTCTTTCATTTAATATCTGACAAATTGTAATTTTAAAAGTAAACCATATTAATCAAACTAAAGGTATTTCTGAATGTATTACTCCTTATTGTTTTTATTAGTGTAATGATATGTTAATGCAAGAATATGTGCTAATTGAATATAATTTATATCAAAATACCTAGACAATTCAATTCACAAGGAGAAGCAAGATCAAATTTTTAAGTTTGTATACACTTCTCGAAATATTATTTAGAGAGAGAGAAGAACCTTTCTAAGACAGCAGAGGAATAAACTTATTCTTATTGATCCTTTATTATTTTCTTCACTATTTTCAAATGACATTCTCTAGCCTCTTATGTAACACTTTACACACCCTTATTAAAGAGTTGATTCAGAAGTAGATCCTATTATAAATAGAATATATAATATACTTTTTTATTATGTAATTTAAGTAATTAACTATAATTTTTTGCCAATTGTTTTAATCCTCCCTATACTTAATTAATGTCAATTATTAGTTTATCATAAGTAATAGCCAATTAAGGTTTAAACTTTAGAAGTTCAAGTCCTTTCTCTTGTGATTCATATACTAATTATAAAGCTAAGACTTTAAGTTCATTGTTGCCCTTATAATTTAGGATACGAATAAGAGAACCAATCAATTTAAGAATATATATTTGAAGTTACTATTATTCAGAAAATCTTATTAAAATTTTCATGAAGTCATAGGCATGTTTGAATGTTTCCTCCTTGCCAAATACAAAACTATCAAGGAGCATAGAAACATAGGGTTCTATTCCTGCTCCATCTTAAGTACTCAGACCAGGTATTAGATCTATGTTTATTCGATTCATGAAACAAGTATGTATATTACGCATATTATCAAAATGATGTTACTTATCTAATGTGTTATTAATTGCATAAATGATTTTATTGGCCAAATTGTAAAATTTTTAAAGTTATTGCTTAGAAAGGTTAGTTGATTATAAATATAAGAAAGGTGTTACTTTTTCAATTATTACTTGAGAGAATTATTAATGATCCTCAGATGTATTTAATAAGAAGTATTATAATAATTCTAAAGGAATAAGACAATGTTTATAGTCATTAGATTGTGCTTCAGATTCAAAGATTGGTTTACTTTTAGCTTATAATTATCTAAGAATATCTTCTATAAATATTGCTAAATAGTTTTCAAGATCAGATTTGATGTGAATACTCAATTATTGAATACAATAAATTAAAGACTAAGTTCTTTCATTCCATTCATTATGATCATTGAAATCAGCACATAAATAGAGATCATTAAACAATATCTGAATTGGTATTTTTTTATCATATTATTTATATATTATACTAGAGAATGTAGATGCATTATTAGTTAGAATATCAATTTTGAATTAATGTAGAGGTGGTACCAAAATCAAAACAATTAAATAATTCAATACTAAAGTCTAATTCAATTAACATAATCTGGAAAATACTTCTAAATATCCTGAATATCTAGGATCATTTTCATTCATATTAGACAAATCTTTTAAATATGGTTCAATGATTAATTCAATAAATGTAGTTTACATAACTTTATTAATCATTGTACCTATTGATTAAAATATTTAAGATTTAATTAAATTATCTTTACAAAAGATATACAATCTTGAATATTCAATAAATTAATCTCTATATTTTGTAGCTAAATCTAAAGATATGTAAATATATATCTGATTTAATGTTGAATAAGCTCCTTTAATTAATGATAAATTATTTTAGTAATTCTATAAAACATAACCTATATGATTGAATGCTTCACTAATTTAAGTTTCTTCATATTTTTCACAGAAATTTCTTATAGTATTAATACCATTCTATACAACACGATCTCTACTCATAATATTACATAATTAAATAACATATTATTTCAATCCTTTCCTTAAAGTTTTAGGAGTGTTATCTATAAATTCCTTCCAAATTGCAACTGCATTTTATCTAACAATTTCTACAACATCCTATTACATTGTATATAATGTCATCAAATTCAAATAATATAAATCAATATTAATATATTGTTTACTATCTGAATTATCTAATTAGGCATATACATATTTCTGTGTTATTTTGAGCATTTCTCCACTTAAAATAGTTCCTGCATTACGTTTCTTTGCATCCTCATTTAACATAGTCTCTGTCAATGATGGATATAATAATTCATTCTATAAAATACCAAAATTCTTAATTAAAATCTTTAATACTCTTAATGTAATACTACTTACTACATCATCTTCATGACTTACACATTCATAAACATTCTCAATTACATCTTTTACATAATTTTTAAATTTCTATTATAAAATACTTGGAATATAAATAAATATTCCTATATATCCTTCTTTAACATGTATTTCTTGTCTCTAAATCTAATTGAATATAAATTATAATTATTCCTCTAAATAATTATCTCCATGAATACAAGTAATCTCAGCAAATGCATGAGCTGCACCTGATCTCTTATTTGTACTTGCTTCTTTATTCTCCAATACATCCCATATAAATTTAAAGAAAATCTTAGTATTTTCAATTCCAATCTTTTGTGATAATTAACCTATTGCTTTTGCTGCAACTGTTCTCACTTCTAATAAAGGATCTCCTATTACTACTTCCAATCCACCAGTTATTAAATTCATATATGGTACTAAATCATCACTTTTCTATATTAGATGAGGTAATCCTCCTGTTAAAATAGAAGCTTATCTTCTTTAATCACTGTCTTATGCTCTTAGACCATAATCTATAATTGGTATTAATAATGACATAGCAGGAGCATCAATATAATGTCTGAACTTTGTTTCCAATACAACTTATAATCCTCTTAAATTTTCATCATAAGGATTTGATAATGAGATAATGAGTATATCTGCAATACTTGAAATTTCTGGATTTTTAATAGTAGATCCTATTTCATTCAATGATTTATTAGCTTCTGCTTTTACATCAGGATGAGTATCAGAAATAGCTTTAGAAATAGAATTAACAATCTAAGGAAGACAACTTGATAATTATTTTGGTGAACAATGTACCAAATGTCCTAATGCCCATATATTGGCAACTTTAGCCCTCCATTAAGTATCAGAATCTAAACCTGTAAGTAATAATTATAAAATAATCTTAACACCATAACTTGAGAGAGATTAAAATAATCTACTTGCATTTTTCATGGCTAAATTACGTATCTCCACTCTACCTTCTCCAAAATATTTCATTAAAAACTCCATCACTTTTAATACATATGGTTCTAATGTCTTCTAAAATAATTCAATCATTGCTTATAATTATATAAGAACATTGAATTTATCCTCTAAACTCTCCTTTTTTTCTTTCACTTCTAATTATTCAAAAATTTTTAAATTCTCCATCTTTTCTACACCCAAACCTTTTATCAAACCTGCTATCATATAAGCATTACCTCTCTTAACCTTTTCATCCTTTTCTTGTTTATTTGATTTCAATAATTCAATAACAAGATTTTCAGTATCTGGAAAAAAGCTCAATAATTCTTATAATGAACGGGCTAATTCTAATTATGAATCTTCATCACTATTTCTAAATAATTAAACAATCTATTCTTAAGTTTTACGTTAGTTATGTCCTTATAAAAATTAAGACAAAACACCTAAAAATGTTATAGCACGTATAGATGCACAAGTATTTTTTGATTGAAGATGATTTTCAATTTAATTCAGAATATCATTAGAATTTTCTTTACCTACACATTTAATTAATTAGACACCTGCTTCTCTACAAAGTACTGCTAATTATTATCTTTCTGGAGTAGATGAATATTAAATTAATAAATCTATAGTATTACCAATTAATTATTTTGGATATGTGTTTAATTATTTACTAACAAAATAAGGGAAGAATTCTAATTATTCTTCTAATAATGATTAATCAATAACCAATTTAGATGCTGCTTAGATTATCATTTCTGGGAATCCATTTACATCATTCAATAAATTAATCATAATTTCACTATGTTTTCTAGGGAATTTCTTTACAAAACTTACTATGTCCCATCTTTGAATTTAATTTAAAATTTTAAATTCTTAATCCACAAAAGGTAAGGCAGATTCTTTAGTATCATCAAATTCAGCTAATACTCTGACTTTAATGTGAATATCAAAATTATCAGGTAAACTTGGGATAGTTTTCAAAATTAAATT